AAGGGCCTTTGGTTTTGCGCAGGAGCCGGCGGGCGGGGAGCGGGCTCAGCCGCCGAAGCCGTAGAGGGTGCGGCCCTGGCGCTTGAGCGCGTACACCACGTCCATGGCCGTGACCGTCTTGCGCTTGGCGTGCTCCGTGTAGGTGACGGCGTCGCGGATCACGTTCTCCAGGAACACCTTGAGCACCCCGCGCGTCTCCTCGTAGATGAGCCCGGAGATGCGCTTGACGCCGCCGCGCCGCGCCAGGCGGCGGATGGCGGGCTTGGTGATGCCCTGGATGTTGTCGCGCAGCACCTTGCGGTGGCGCTTGGCGCCGCCCTTGCCCAGGCCCTTCCCGCCTTTGCCGCGTCCAGACATGGCGATTGAGCGAAGCCAGAGACGTCTGTCCCCGCGCTGGCGGCGGCAGCCCCTTAAGTAACGAGGGGGCGGACCTGGTTTGAAACAGGCCAGAAAAGGCGGGAAACAGCCGCGTCCCCGCCCCTGCGGCTACACCCTCCAGGACACACGGAGTAAGGAGATTTTCTGTTACTTAAAAAATAAAAAAACCCAAACGGGAGGGCCTACCGTGAACACGCATGAACTTACTATCTCCATGGTGGGCGTGTTGAAAGATTTGTCCATCCTGTGGATATTGTTTGGATCGTTTCCAACAAGGAACTAAAAGAAGCCCGAACCCCAGCAGACAAAGGAGTTGGGAACGGGTTGGGTTTGGGGTTGGTGAGCGGCTGCTCTCCAGCCGCCTGAGAAGCCGAGTTTTCTTGTCTGTCTCCGCGCACAGGGCGCGCAGCTGTCCGGAACAGGGACTGGATCATGGAGGAGGGGACCCGGGAGAGCTAGGCAGTGCGCAGCCCCCTGGCGGATCCTGTCTTCCCCAAACCCGGACACGGAAGAGTAGCTTGCAGTTCTTCCCAGAGGGCAGGGAGCCCAAGCCACTTCCTACACAACGACCCACCAGCGCCACTGGCCAGTGCGCCCGAGGACAGGTGACCTTCAGGGAACAAAGCTCCTGGGGCGTCGGCATCTAGAGATGCTCCCCTAAGGACTTCTCTTGCTCAGCCTTTAGCACCCCTCAAAACGAGGGCCTAGTGTGCGCTCTTTTTCCCAGGAATATGCGCCCCCAACTCCCTCTCCCCCACCCCACAGAGCGTCCGCTAAGCTTTAAGGAACCCCGAGAGGCCTGCAACCAAGGCAGCAGCAGGTCGTTCCAGACAAAGCCCCCAAAGCCCCCTTCCCCTGACTTTCAGGGAGCCAGCTCCTGGATCACGGTCCCAGCTTTGATAAACGTCCGCTAAAGATCCCCCGGACTCCCGTGGTGAAACGTTCCCAGCACGAAATCACAAACCCACACCCTCCCGGCTGCCCGAAGCAAGCCCGTTCGGGGCCAGGCCCGCTTTCCGGGTACAGCTGATAGTTCTGTTAATGGAGGAGAAAAAAAACATTGAATTTTTGTGAGTTTATTTGAGCCAAACTGTCGACATATGCTGGGAAGCAGAACCTCAACGGATTGAGATAATGCTCCGGAGAATGCAGGGTTACATCTATATTTATACCTTGCAACCAAAGGAAAGGTATGTGAGTTATGTGAAATTCATTGGTGATAGATTAGGGAGGTGGGACGGAGCAAAGGGGGATAGGGTGAAAAGTGAAATGATGATGGCTACAGGATACTTTTTAAGTTGATAATTAACTTGATAACAATAACAATGAGGGAATGTCTCAAGGCCATTTGTTGTGCCCTGAGGGGTCCCAGGTAAAAAGGAAGTTACAAGTTACCCAGACATCTCACAGATAGGTTATCTTAGAGGCAAAACGGCAAATGGGCTCCGTAAAGAAGATCTAAGTTGATCTTTGTCAGGTGAAATATTGGTCTAGGACATGACTACCCACTATAACCTGTTTGTATTTAGATATTTAATTTTCAAACCATCTTTTGTGGTTATTTTAGGTCTCTGAGTTTGCAAGACTGGCCACATAGGCCTCCCCTGAGCTTGTCAGGTTAGCATGTGGCTCTTTTCGTTCACAGTTCTTTGACCATAAGTTCCTAACACCCCAACTTCTGTGTAAAATATTTGTGATACAGGCAGGGCTAAAGCATAATGCAGAACATTTCCAGCATAACGCAAGCACCGTGTGCTTCAACTTAAACCAATGGAGGTCATCCGTGTAAGCAGGGAGGGGTCGCAGAGGGAAAGAATGTGGGTGCCAGGGGCTGACGCCCTGTTTGGCGTGAGACAGAGGGTGGAGGGGTGCTGCCCTTTCCTGGGGCAGGTTCATCCAATTCTAGGAAAGCTGTCATACACAAAGCTGAAACTAGGAAAGGGAACTGTATGCAAGTGACAGTAATAAAAATGCAGCAATTCCTAGAGGCTTGCATTCTTTTCAAAATTTTGCTGAACTAGTACATGAAAGCATTAAGATATAGATGAGGCGCTTAGAATACAATACAATGTTCAAAATAAAAGACGACATTTTATGGGGTTTTTTAAAAACACACACACACACACACACACAAATTCAACTGAGTCCATTTGAAGACCTAATTGGCTTTATTAACCAATTTCTGAATCGGACACCATCCGACTTGTAACTAACTGGAAGGGTGTTCCTAGGAGTTGTACAAAATAAATACGTTTTATAGGAACAGTGACAGAGCAAGCACATGGACACGGAGACAGGTCAGGTCAGTTGTTGGGCAAAAACAATTGAGGGAATCAACCAGGTAGACACAGCACAGCTTGTAGCACAGATAAACCCCTGGGCCACAAGGCTTTAGCGGGCAGCCCACCACTGGGGAGTCCGAGCCTGCTTGTTACAACTTTTCTACACTTTACTTAAATCTTCCGGTTCCGAGGAGCTCATGCTTCGGTGTCGAGGGACACGACCCAGGGAAAACACCTCGGCTCACCGTTCGGGTTATCACAGGGAGCTGTCAGCAACCCGACGTGACTCTGTTCTCTCGCGAGAGCCCAGGGAGCCGTGCTTGGTCTCTCTCCTTGCGCTGCTTCCACCTTGGGACCTTCCTGGTTTCCCTGTCTCCACTGTTTTATTCTCAAAAACCCCTGGACTCGTGTTCTGAAATCCTTCCTACACCAAGTCAAGAACCCACAAACTAGGCCCAGGGCGGCGAGCCAGATCCATCCCTTGCAGATCTTTCCAGTAACATTTCCATTTAAAGCTATTTCCATTAAAGCGATGGGCTTTCAGGCCCAGGGTTTGTTGTTTTGTATCTTCCACACCCCACCCTACCTACCCCACCATGTTTTAATTTATTTCTCCAATTCTGCCATACAGTAAGTTACAGAAATGCTGCTCTGATGGAGCCCAACAGCCCTTTCCAGTCACGTGTTGCTGTTACAAGTTCGCTACAAGGTTCAAGAATGTGGCACTGAGCATTTTATTGCACGTTGTTCTAGGTTCTGAGGCTGAAGAGTCACTCCAAAAGCCAGCAATTTTACTGAGAAGAAAATGGCTGGCAAAGCCAGGTTCAGTGGTTAGTTCTGGAACTTGATTTCACTAAAACGCAGCCAAAGCTTCCATTAATGTGCATGTGCCCAAAACGGACCCAATGAAGATCCAGTTACACTTCCTGATGGCATTTTGGATTTTCAATAAAAACCAGAGATTTCTGATATATCGGTATTAAGGGTACTGCATTGAAACATTGTTTTTCTCACAGGGGGCAGACATCTGTACAATTACTGTGCTGTATTGGACTCTCACCAGAATTCCTGCCTGGAAATAAATCATAACTGTGGAGAGAGGCTACAGTGTCTGGACAGATTCAAGCCTCAGACTGACGAGAGGGCACAGTCCTCTGGTGGCCACGAGCAAGTCCCCAGCAGCACAATAGCCAACAGCTGGAGTTGTGAGCTTGCACCTGTGGTCTGAACACGTACCACGTGCCTGAGTGCTGCGGGCTTGATAGTGTTCAGGTGCCTGGAACTGAGTCAGATCTCAACCCACAAGAATGTTGTAAGCATCTTGACCATGCCCTTCCTTTGCTTCGTGGAATCCTAACTAATTAAGAGGGGACATGCTATTTGACCATCACTCCGTCACAGAGATGGCTGCACCCACAGCTGAGGCCAAGTTCCCATAAGGAGCCTTAACAAGCAATCAGCAGGGACCTGAGGCTACCCGCTCCCCCACCCTGCAGGGCTTAACAGGCTCCCCCACCCTGCAGGGCTTAACAGGCGACCTCAAAGTGAACACCCCAGTGTCCTGATGCTGGGCTAGGGGACCTCAGGCCACGCCCCCCACCCAGCGGGGCTTGACAGGGGACTTCAAGGTGAACACCCCAGTGCTGGATTGAGGGAATTCAGGCCGTGCCCCCGCCCAGTGGGGCTTGATGGGAAACCTCAGGTCATGCCCCCCACCCTGCGGTGCTTGACAGGGGATTTCAGGCCGTCACCCACTTGGCGGGCTTGACAGAGCACCTCAAGGACGCCCCCCACCCCAATCTGGGGGACGTCAGGCCACGCCCCTCGTCCTGGAGCTGGGCCAGGGGACCTGAGGCTAAGCCTCCTGCCCTGCAGGGCTTGACAAGGGTGGGCCTGTCTGGTCTGGAACTAGACTAATGGTGGTGGTGGGGGGGGGGGTGAGCAACCTGAGTCTGGGTCTCACGTGATTTTGAGGTGCATGTGGGTGGACAGGGACTTGAACCTGCGTCCCGTGGTGAGCCCCTGCCTCTGAGTTTTTCACATACATTATACGAACTTCATTTGACATTACAAAGGGCAAATAGCAATAGCATATCGCTCCTCCATGCACCTAGTCAGCAACCTGGCTACAAAATCCCGTTTGCAGTACGAGAAGCTGTCGCTAGCTCTTCATCAGCGGGCGGCGCCTCACTCAGACATAGCTTTTATTCTCAACCCTTCACCGCCCCCCTCAGGCTCACCTAACCACGCTCACCAGCTGCAGCACATAAAGCGTCCCATGTTGGACTGCGTATGCCGTGGAGCTACAGGTTGGCGCACAGCTCTTCTTAGGGAAAGTGTGGTGGCTCTGAAAAGAGCCTTTGGGTTTCCGCGTTGGTGGGAAGGACCGAACTCACGCCCGCTCCCCGCGGATGCGGCGCGCGAGCTGGATGTCCTTGGGCATGATGGTGACGCGCTTGGCGTGGATGGCGCACAGGTTGGTGTCCTCGAACAGCCCCACCAGGTAGGCCTCGCACGCCTCCTGCAGCGCCATGACGGCCGAGCTCTGGAAGCGCAGGTCGGTCTTGAAGTCCTGCGCGATCTCGCGCACCAGGCGCTGGAACGGCAGCTTGCGGATCAGCAGCTCCGTGGACTTCTGGTAGCGCCGGATCTCGCGCAGCGCCACGGTGCCGGGCCGGTAGCGGTGCGGCTTCTTCACGCCGCCCGTGGCCGGCGCGCTCTTGCGGGCCGCCTTGGTGGCCAGCTGCTTGCGGGGCGCCTTCCCGCCCGTGGACTTGCGCGCCGTCTGCTTCGTGCGAGCCATTCCGAACACCCAGGAGCACGGAGCTGCTAGAAGGGGAATGAGCGCTTTCAACCATTATTTATACTGCAGGGCCCATGCTGATTGGACCAGGCATCTGTCCATCTGTCCGGCTGAACGTGATTGGAAGCCGCGTCGACTTCCGCATCCCAGGAGCCACCCTCTCCCCCCCCCTCCCGCCCGGGGCTTTTACATCAGAAATTACGTAACTTTCAACACAGGCCGTTTTCTAGTCTTTCTCGCCTCTACCTTTTCTGCGTTTTTTCTCTCTGCAATGTTATTTGTTTTATTCTCCGTAGAATTTAATGCCAGTATTCACAAATGTTTCCTGAGTAAATTTTAGCTTTCGTCCGAAAACGCTTCCGTTTTTATTTGAAAAAGCGCGCGCTACATGGGATTGGCCAAGCAAATTTTGAGCCTCATTCCAGTTTAGGAGGGCTAGTTTCCTGTCAGTTTCTTCCTTTCTCTAAACATATTGAACATGTTTCTGTAGGCCTTTTTCTAAATGTCAATTTACCGCGACTTCACATTTGATGCTATAGCAACAGTGACATTTAATACCTACTAACTCATACTTATCACAATTTCCATCGAGACTTGTGTAACAAGTGTGATTAAAAGGAATAAAAATCCTCCGACGTGTTAAGTGGCACCAAAAAGATGACCGTGGGCCTTGTTAAAGTTACGCAGTGCTGTGTTGGGAAGCTCCCCCTGATTTGGAACTCCAGAGGGAGCAGGGCTTTCACATTGAAAGCCGACTAGGGCCCCGGGGCGGAGATGGGAGAGTAGGGGATGAGGTGTCCCATTAAGATGCAAAACAAGTGGAGGGCGGTTTTATTGCACTGTTGCTAATTAACTAGGTTTGTATGTAAATGCTCTTACCAAGCGTTATTCCCATTGTCTTCCCCATGGTTTAACCCTGAGGGCCCACAGTATTCATCCCTAACTACCTGTGATGTCAAGTATGTCCATTCCCCTTTCACTTCATTGTGTCTTATTGGGGTAAAGAGTGGAATTCCTGGGCGTTTGCACACTGCCACCTACTGTCAGGCTGAGAAATAAATTACAGCAAAGGCCGCTTTTCAGTCTCCGCTCAGACACGTAAAGTGCAAGCTCTTCCGTGACAGCGTGGGGGGCTCTGAAAAGAGCCTTTGGGTAGAGCAGAAGGCAGTAGGTTGTGGGCACTTGGGTTACTTGCCCTTGGCCTTGTGGTGGCTCTCGGTCTTCTTGGGCAGCAGCACGGCCTGGATGTTGGGCAGCACGCCGCCCTGCGCGATGGTCACCTTGCCCAGCAGCTTGTTGAGCTCCTCGTCGTTGCGGATGGCCAGCTGCAGGTGGCGCGGGATGATGCGCGTCTTCTTGTTGTCGCGGGCCGCGTTGCCCGCCAGCTCCAGGATCTCGGCCGTCAGGTACTCCAGCACGGCCGCCAGGTACACGGGCGCGCCGGCCCCGACCCGCTCCGAGTAGTTGCCCTTGCGGAGCAGGCGGTGGACTCTGCCAACGGGGAACTGCAGGCCGGCCCGGGAGGACCGCGTCTTGGCCTTGGCGCGCGTCTTGCCTCCTTGCTTTCCGCGTCCAGACATGACTTCTTGAGGAGATGGGAGTGCCTTCTGAGGAACAGGTCAGAGGAATGGAACTAGCGGAGAAGGAAGGCAAGTATTTATACTAACGGGAGGTAGGCTGCATGCGCTTCCCCAGAACCAATGGGAACGTAGAGCCTGCCTCCTTCATTTGCATACGGGGCGGTTTTCTTTTTTTTTTCTTTGCTCCATTCTAATCTGGTCTGATGAAGTGTTACCTACCTTCCTTTCTTTTTCTTCTTTCTCTTCCTTCCTTTCTTTTCTTTCTTTTTTTCTTCTTTTTTCTTTTTCTTTCTCTCTCTTCCTTCTTTTTACTAATAATTGAATCAATTTGTGTGTTCCCCCCCCTAAATACTATCCTACATGCAGGAATTATTGTCCTCAATTAGGTTACTTGTCAGTTTTCTGAATTGTGACTCGAGATTTTGGAAAGAAATACAAGCAGGGCAATTTCTAAGTGGATTACATGTAAGAGGTACATTTAAAAAAAATAAAGAAAAGGAGGTACTTTTATGCCATGCGTTGCTTTAACTCTTTTAGGACGCAGAAGGTGGGGAGAAAGGGAACATAGTCCTTTTGGTGGCCCAAGGCTTCTGAAAGAATCTGAACAATGAAATCTGCAGAGGAGGTGGCCCAAGACAGCCACTGCATCCCCATGCCAGGCATACCCTGGTAGGAGACGTTCAGGTTAGCTTGGAAGTGTAGAGCATGAGTAATGTCTTCATTTTAGAAATGTGAGACGTGGATGCCCAGGTGGGCTATTTACTAATGCCGAACGTGAGAATTAAATGACGCCAAGAACTGTGAACTACGGGGTGAAACGCCTTTGCCACAATTTCCCAGTACCATTCCCATCCCCCTCGCCTTCTTTTCCCACCTGGGATGCCGGTTGTTTCAGAAAGCCGCCCTGCTGCCCCATGGCCTGTAACCCGCAGGGATTCTCCCGTGCCTGCTTCCTCGTGCACGTGATCCCTATTTCCCGTCATCTTTGTCCTTCTACCCAGTAAACAGCTGGCTCAGGGTGGGGGCGGGCAGACTTTTTGTGGATGCCCTGCTGCCCGCCCATGCTGCTGGGAATTACTGGAATAAACGCTCCTCTCGGAGTCAGCCCTGGCTCCTCTCAAATGGCTCCCCATAGTGACTAACTGGCAGCCCAGACCCCTTAGTGGGGCGGTTACACTCTCTCGGTTTTGGTCCTGACCAGTCTCTGGAACTTTGTGGACCTTTCTTCTCTTTTCAGAATTCTCAGTCATCTTCCCTCCAACTTGATAGATCCTCCCTTCCTCAAAGTGATGGACAGACGTAAACTCCACCTGCAGCCAGACATTCCTGAGCACTGAACCACCCATCAGCACCTGCCAAATACCCTAAGCCCCGGATTCCTAAGTCCCTAGGTCCCTAATCATAGGCCTCACCTGAAACCACCGGTCAGTGTGCTGAGTGCCCTAAGCCCCGTCCCCTATCCTCCCCTTAAAGGTGCTTGTACCCTAGCCCTCGCGTGCGCTCTCTCTCTCTCTCTCTCTCTCTCCCTCTCCCTCTCCCTCTCCCTCCCCCTCACCCTCCCCCTCCCCCTCCCCCTCCCCCTCCCCCTCCCCCTCCCCCTCCCCCTCCCCCTCCCCCTCCCCCTCCCCCTCCCCCTCCCTCTCCCTCTCTCTCTCTCTCTCTCTCTCTCTCTCTGGAAGCAGCCGCAGGGGTACTCTTCTCTCCAATGAAGCCTGTGTCCTGGCATCCCGGTCTCCGGCACCCTCTTTATTTCATCTTTTACAAATTAAAAGTCTCCCAGGCCTCTTCATCTGGCTCCAGGCAGCCAGAACCTGGGTGGGGAGACGGCAAAACTTTTCTTGGCTGAAAGGAGAGTTGGGGATCTCGTCCAGGTTATTTTCCTGTTTTCTTAGTTGACCGAGAGCAGCAGCTCTGGAGGAAATGTGGCTGTTTACCAGGGAAGCGCGTGTATAAACCCTTCGGTGAGGACAAGGGTCTCGCGGTCTTGTTAGTGCTTCCCACACGGTCTTCTTGCTAAATGCTAAAATGCAAAACCGTAGTTTGCAGACACAGCTCAGCAGATGCACTCTGCTCCAACCCAACCAGGCACGTGTAGCTGATTGCAAAGAAGAAATCAACACGCAATTGACCACATGGTGTGTAGAAGCTTTGTCTAGGCCTCTCTTTTGGGAGGCAGCACTGGAGGGGGAGCCTGTCCCCTTTACTTGCTGCAAGTAAACAGAGCTACGTAAGGACAGCCGGGTCTCCCTTGTGAGGAGATCCCCCTGCGCAGGGAGCCCCGCAGTTTGCTAACCATTCCAGATTTCTCTTAAGCTGATGGGACTGACCGTGTTCAAAGCTGGTAGCCTGGTCAGAATCACCTGGGGCACTGGTCGGCAAACTCATGAGCCAACAGAGCCAAATATCAACAGGACAACAATTGACATTTGAGAGCCAAATTTTTTAAACGTAAGCTTTTTCTAACGCCACTTCTTCAAAATAGACTTGCCCAGGCTGTGGTAGTTTGTGGAAGAGCCACACTCAAGGGGCCAAACAGCCGCGTGTGGCTCGAGAGCCGCAGTTTGCCGACCACGGACCTGGAGAGATTAACTAGTTCGTTTCTGTCTTGTCACTACTCCCCACTATAGATCTGTGGAGCCACCATGGAGTCTAGGCTTCTGATTTTTTAAAAATATGTATATTTAATGATTTTGCAGGAGAGAGGGAAGGGAGAAGGGGAGGGGGTGGATGAGAAATAGAGCTCAAATCCAGGCATGTGCTCTGAGCAGGAATCGGAGCAGCAACATTTTGGTGCTGGGAACGAAGCCCAACCAACTCAGAGCGACACAGGCCACTTATTCTTATTTCCTCCTTCACTTGGGAAGCATTGACATAGAAAACTGGCGTCAATCGAGCAATGCTCGGGGAGTTTGGAGTCACACTTTATTCACCGCGATGGGCTTAGAGAAAATGAATTCAAATTCCAAGCAAAGCTACAAGCAGAACTTCCCTTTTTATTAGAGAGCCAGCCCTGTGTGCGCTTAGTGGTTATCCCACTGCTGGCCTCAAAAACAACACAGTTCTATCCAATTAAAACATACACCTGGCATGGCATTGAGAGTATGGGCCTCTCTGGCTTACAGAAGGCTAAGTTTATCTTCCTCATTATTCAAGCAGGCTAGAGCAAGCTAGAAAGCAAAGTTGTTATTATTTTTTTTTAGAATAAGAGGCCGTCTAAAAAAACAGCAGAGAATTCCAAACAGTACTTTTACAAAATAGGGGTTAGCCTTGTCAGCATCAGCCAGATACCTGGACAGATAACATCCATAGGTTTGAGTTTAGGAGGCCTAATGTGTTTTTCAAGGTTGTCAATTAAGAATATAGTTTTAGGTAAAGCGTTAACTACTTAGAAGAAATGAGAAGGGAGGGGGCAGGGGACAGATGGCGAGGTTGAAAGCAGGCAGGCAGAGCTGTACAGGACAAAAGGGGGAGAAAATAACCCTACGGAGGTCGTGTTGAATAGGATAAGAAATAATCTCCCAGGCCAGCTCTTCCCCCTCGAGGGAAGAATACCAGGGTTCGTGATTCTCAAACTGTAGCCTGCACTCACGAAGGAACTTATTTGGGGAAGGCTCTTTTTTATTATCTACACAACAAAAATTACTGACTTTTAAGGCAAGTGTCTTTTTCAAAAATACATTTTGCATATGCTGAGAAACAGAATTCCTCATCCATTGGCCAGCTGTTATGTTGGGCTCTGGGGAAAATTTTTTTAATTTTCCTTTAAAAGGGGCTCCTTTTATGAGAAATTCAACTTTAAATTTTACAGTATTTCTTCATCGTGCTCATACACTGAAGACCGAAGGAAACGGCACACGGCGATTCTTCACCAGCTCTTCTCCTCTCCCCCAGCCCGGGACGTAGACCCCTCGGACCCTCTTCCCCCAGGGCGTTCCTGTCTGCCTGGACGGGTTTTGGAGTCCCAGCGACTCTGGGTAAAGGATTGCAAAGAACTGGCCGCGCATCTTCCTCTCCACCCGCTTCCCCCACCACCACCACCACCACCACCACCGCTGTCAGCCACGAGGTGGCGCCACACATGGGTAGGAGGGCGGGAAATTCAAATCCTTTGTCCCCCATCAGAGCGGGAACCCACCCTCCTTGACCCTAGAACCTAGTCCTAGGGGATCGCTGATCCGTCCAAGGCCCAGGAAGTGGCACCGGGTTACTGGGACGTGAGAAAAACTCACTGGCGTTTCAGGCTGACCGTGGCCACCGGTTATAATTTCCAGTGAGAAACCGGAGCCATCTCAGGTCGCCTGTGTGAAAAGGCCTCGAGGCGGACCCCACCGAAAACAAGTGCCCAAGGAGCCACCGCACAAGGTCGCCGAGCGTCTCCCCAAAGCCCCCGCGACAAGGCGAGTGTAGGCTCCAGAAGGAGGGCCCGTTTGGCTGCCCAGACCGGGACTCCTCCGGGGGCCCCCGTTTTCTGAAGTCCTTGAACGGCTTTCCTACCCAGGATGGGGTCCCAAACCCCGTCGGAAAACCGCAGAGTAAGCGAATCAGTCTTTTGTGGGTGCATCCTAATGAACACCGAGAGGGTAAGGGCACCTTGAACTTGGCATGAAATATGAAGACAGCCTTGGGGCACAGCTGCACGGACCGCACTCCAGTTAAAAACAGGCGACCCAGAGACCAAACCAAACTACACTGAAGAGAAATCAGGGCTCTAACTGACCCCACAGCATGAGACAGGGACCTCGCTCAGAAACGGCACTGACAGCTTTCCTTAGAGCAAATGGGTGGCTCTGAAAAGAGCCTTTGGGGTCGGGAGCCGGGCCGCGGCGCTCACTTGGAGCTGGTGTACTTGGTGACGGCCTTGGTGCCCTCGGACACGGCGTGCTTGGCCAGCTCGCCGGGCAGCAGCAGGCGCACGGCCGTCTGGATCTCGCGGGACGTGATGGTGGAGCGCTTGTTGTAGTGCGCCAGGCGCGACGCCTCGCCCGCGATGCGCTCGAAGATGTCGTTGACGAACGAGTTCATGATGCCCATGGCCTTGGACGAGATGCCGGTGTCGGGGTGCACCTGCTTGAGCACCTTGTACACGTAGATGGAGTAGCTCTCCTTGCGGCTGCGCTTGCGCTTCTTGCCGTCCTTCTTCTGCGCCTTAGTGATGGCTTTCTTGGAGCCCTTCTTCGCGGCCGGAGCAGATTTGGAAGGCTCTGGCATGGTGTCTGCAAAATGCTGTAGAGTTGCTGGTGGTAATTCTCACAACAGAATAAAGGTGAAAGGCTGAGGGCTCAGCCAGTATATATATGTTTCTCGATGTAAATGAGGAACGGAGAATCCTGACTTCTGATTGGGTAGTCTCCACATGGCGCTGAGGGGCGTTGTCTATTCAAATGAGGATTACGCAATTCTCGTTTCTATTGGACAGAACATATTTTAACCAATCAGATGTCTTATCTCGCTATCCGAGCTGTAACTATAAAACGCTTTCTTCCACTTAACATCCTCACACTGCTTTTTTGCTGAGTCTCTTTCTGCAGTCTTAATTAAACTTTGCTAGCATGTCCGGACGCGGGAAGCAGGGAGGCAAGACGCGCGCCAAGGCCAAGACGCGGTCCTCCCGGGCCGGCCTGCAGTTTCCTGTTGGCAGAGTCCACCGCCTGCTCCGCAAGGGCAACTACTCGGAGCGGGTCGGGGCCGGCGCGCCCGTGTACCTGGCGGCCGTGCTGGAGTACCTGACGGCCGAGATCCTGGAGCTGGCGGGCAACGCGGCCCGCGACAACAAGAAGACGCGCATCATCCCGCGCCACCTGCAGCTGGCCATCCGCAACGACGAGGAGCTCAACAAGCTGCTGGGCAAGGTGACCATCGCGCAGGGCGGCGTGCTGCCCAACATCCAGGCCGTGCTGCTGCCCAAGAAGACCGAGAGCCACCACAAGGCCAAGGGCAAGTGAGGCGCGAATCGCAGCGTTCAAAACCAAAGGCTCTTTTCAGAGCCACCCACGCTTTCACTGAACGGGCTTGCACGAAAATTTCCATTTCAACAGCTACCAAATTCTGTCCGCCAGTAGATGGCAGTGTGCAAATATTAACTCCACTGAAAACAGGGACACACTTGACAATCACAGGTGATTAGGGGATGAATGCTGCAGGTCCTCGGGGCTGTAAACGCGAGTGCAAACAGTGCGTGGTGAAAGGTGTCTATTTAAATGCAAATAGTTAGTGACCCTACAGACAGTTGTTTTGCATCTTAATGGGGCACATTATCGCCAGTTTTCCCATCTTCCTACAGGCACCCTAGTGGGTTGTAAGTAACAGCTATGCTGCAGGCTCCTGTGTCCTGTCCCTTAGGCAGAACTACTCTACACGGGGCACAGCGCGGCTTTCACTGGGCTCAGCCATCTGTTTGTACCACGTACACGCTTCAGGGTGTGTTTTTTTTTTTTTTTCTTTAACCACACTTTCCACAACTCAGTTAACATTGTGAAACGTATGAGAATGCCAGTTAATGAAAAGTAAATGTTACTGTAGCTATAGCACCAAATGTGAAATCGAGTTAAGTAAGCATTTAGAAAAAAAACCTACAGAAACATTTTAAAATCTCTACATTTAAATAGGAAATGAAGAAACTGACGGGAAATTGGCTTTCCTAAATTTGAATGAGGCTCACAAATTACTTGGCCCATCCCGTGTAGCGCGCGCTTTTTCAAAAATATCAGAGGGAAGCCAGTTTCCGGGGCCAACATATAAAATTTTTATTCAGGAAACAGGATATATAATTGTAATATTTACATTAAAGTCTGCGGGGAAAACCAAAGAACATTGTAGAGAAAAGCGGTAAAAACGGTAGAAGCGAGAAAGATTAGGAAGCAGTCTTAGATGAAAGGGTGGGTGGGAGGAAGGTTAATTTACGGTCCAAACGCTCCGGAAGCTCCTGTGGTCCGGAAGTGGATGGGGCTTCCAATAACTTCCCTACGGGTCTTGATGGACAGATGCCTTATCCAATGAGAGCAGGCCTTGCCTTATATATACCGGTGAGCACCCAGTCTGTTTATCGTTCTCCCAGCAATTTGCTGCTCTCAGTGTTCTCCGAATGGCTCGCACGAAGCAGACGGCGCGCAAGTCCACGGGCGGGAAGGCGCCCCGCAAGCAGCTGGCCACCAAGGCGGCCCGCAAGAGCGCGCCGGCCACGGGCGGCGTGAAGAAGCCGCACCGCTACCGGCCCGGCACCGTGGCGCTGCGCGAGATCCGGCGCTACCAGAAGTCCACGGAGCTGCTGATCCGCAAGCTGCCGTTCCAGCGCCTGGTGCGCGAGATCGCGCAGGACTTCAAGACTGACCTGCGCTTCCAGAGCTCGGCCGTCATGGCGCTGCAGGAGGCGTGCGAGGCCTACCTGGTGGGGCTGTTCGAGGACACCAACCTGTGCGCCATCCACGCCAAGCGCGTCACCATCATGCCCAAGGACATCCAGCTCGCGCGCCGCATCCGCGGGGAGCGGGCCTGAACTCTGTCCTTTCCACCAACACGGAAACCCAAAGGCTCTTTTCAGAGCCGCCCACCACTTTACAAAAAGAACGGCTGTAACTGCACATCCTAGGTGCTGGGATCCAAACAAATGGCTGGGGGAATTTTAAGCACAGGTTGTTTAACGTTCAGTTTCTTGGTATTGGTTTCTATATTAAGGTGAAAGCCCTTTGTCAGTGGGTCAATTAAAAGTATTGGGCATCTTCCACTTGCCGCTTTACAGACAGATGATATTCCTCCGTGTCGTACTGACTTCTGTTTCCAGTGCTGACGCATTGCAGGGCTTTCCCTGGTCCCTCCATCTTGTTTCATCCACCACCACCCTCAGGCCTCACTCTGACAGGCAGTTCCTATCCTGGTAGTTTATCTTGTTCCTTAGGCTCTACGTGTAAGATCACATGGTAGTAGTTGTCTCTCTGGATTCCTAATGACGTTTAGATATCAAAGTTTCACAGCATAGACAGAAGCTAATATGGTAGCTTTTTATTGGATTTTTAATTTTTCATGGAATTCTCAAGCAATTGAAACTTGTTTGAATCACCAGAAGCAGTTTTGACTATCTCTGTGTCCTGTTCAATTGAGTTCAGACAACAGGGTTTATGAGTGCACTTATTTGTATAGAGGCTCCTGACACCGTTATTTCTGCATTTAATCCATCAAACACGCTAAAGTTAAGTCTTCCTAACAGCAGTGTTGTCTGCACAAAATCCCTAGTTAAAAAAAACAAGCAAAAAACACCCCTAGGCTGTCTGGCTCAGTGGATAGAGCATTGGCCTGCAGACTGAAGGGTTCTGGGTTAGATTGTGGCAAAGGGCACCTCCCCGGGTTTCGGGCTCCATCCCCACTAGGGGGTGTGCAGGAGGCAGGTGATCAATGATTCATCGTGTGTTTCTCTCACTCTCCCTTCCTCTCTGAAATCAATAAAGAAATATATTAAACAACAGAAATACACATTTATTTCTGACTGCGCAACTGAACACTGATCTCCCTAAAATAAGATGGCCGCTCACGGGATTAAAATGAAAACGGGCCTCAGTGCTCTCCACCAGCGTCCACTAAGTAAATGTAAGCAGCCAGGAAGATTAGACTGTCACTGTCCAAACCTCAGTCAGGGGGACTTAAGATGCTGGAGGTGTGGACATAAAGGTCCGCACCCGCCAAGAATTTTTTAGTTTATTTGAGCTGAAACAGACATGTGCCAGGGAGCAATTATCTTAAATGATTTGTTCGTTGGAAGGCACCTGGGGCTTATTGAGTTTTACCATTTCTTTTCTGCATCTGAAATTAGGAAACATTACAAGGAGGTGGGAGAGAGCAAGGCAGGGTCCGAGGACAGGATAGTTAAGATGATGGGCGGTTACTGATTTGGAAGAAGGCTGAAAGGGGAGAAGGGGTTTCAAAGGTGTGTTCACTTAGGTGCCCAAAGACCATGGACAGCACTTGCTTAGGGTGCAGCCTGGGAGTTAAGACCCCCTCTCCCCCCTCCCCCCCTCAGAAAACAGCATTCGTTTGTGTGCTTGGACTAACGGCCACAAGAAGGAAGTCACGCACCACCATTATAGCAATTACGTAGCCTAAGGCCGGTTACACTGCAGGGAAAATAAATGTCAGCAGAACAACCATAGCAAAAAGAATGAGTGGGGAGTCACAAGTGCGGCCCCCGCCCTGCACATGAAGACAGCCTAGCAATGTGCTCTCTTAAGATGGTTTCAGCTACAAAGTGAACAGACGGCGGAAACCAAGGGTCCTACTATAATGTGTGATTTCCTTTAATGTGTAGCCCCAGCCCTCCATTACGCTTCTTCCCAACGCCTGAGCCCTTCTCCTCGTTGGCCATCACCTCCCTGAGGCGGCCGGGAGAGGTGGCCAAGCTCTGACTCTGGGAGACAAGGCCTGGGCTTCTGTGAAGGGGAAGATGTAGGCTGCAGGAACCAGCACCAGGTGACTGACCGGCGGGGTCAGGCCAAACCTGGGTTTAGTCTCCTCGGTACTTGGGTTCTGGCTAGGAGAGAATTCAGAGTCCAGACCCAACCTGTAGGAGAACATTTATGGGGTAAATCAGAGGGAGAAGAAGCAATTCTAGAAGAAGTGGGCTTAGGAAGGGAGTCATGGAGGTGAGGGAACCACCCTTGGAGCTTGGGAGTGAGGAGGCTCATAGTAAAGAGAGAGGGGGAGGGCTTGGGGATGAGGGAAGGGTGTTCTCCCTCAGGGCTTTAAGGCTGGGGTGTCAGGGGAGATCCCAGGGACGCATCTTAACAGGATATCCAGCAGCTTGCCAGGTGCATCCAGTCAGGGTTGTGGTCTCCACTGATTGATTGGCAGCACCAGAGCAGGGGACATTACTCCATGCAGCTGACGCTAATGGCAGCCACGGCTGGTCTGGTTGCTTATCTGGGCCCGGAGCTGAAATACCACCCAGATGTTATCTCCAGGAAGAAAAAGTGAGGGGAGGAAAAGTCTCCCTGGGGCTCCCACCCTGTTGACCTGGGCCATTGTCTTTGCTCTGCTCCTGTTGGTCTCCATGCCTCCAGCAAGGATAACGACCTGGAGGCTTAAATTCGGTTCCTGAGCCCTGGAGCTGCAGGGCGCCCCCTGGCCACACCCTCATGAAACCTGACCAGGCAGCAAGACCCATGGCCCCAAGCCCCTTACTCCTGAGGACTTTGGTTCTGGAAAACCCTTGTCGGCACACTGTTGGGGAGCTGGGGTTATATGTAGTTTATGTAAGACCTACGCAGTGCCTGGCTCTTTCTCTGCACCTTGGTGTCCGCACAGATGGCTACTATCAGCACCACCAGGTAGGCGAGCCTTTGCTGGCTGGGGCGCGTGAGCCGGAGTCACCCCCTAAAACGGGAGCCAGGACTACAGACCCAGGACTGCGCGCGCCCCGAGGCGCCTCCCGGGAACTTGTCTCCCGGGCGGGATTGGAACTGCCCCAGGCTACGTGCAGGAGACACGCCCGAGGGTAACACTACCCACGGTGGCACCGACGAGAACTAGCGCCCTGACATCAGACACAGACACTTTTCCCTCCAGCGTGGACCACACACACACACACACACACACACACACACGGCGGGTAAAGCCGCTTCGGGGTGCGCACGTTTGTCTAACGGAGGACGGGGAGCCGCCCGCCAGGACAACATGGCGACGGGAGGCTGTTTTGGGCGCGCCCTAATGGGTCCCACCCAAGTTCACGGAGACGGGGTCCGAGGGACGGGAAGACCCCGCCGCTGCCGCGCCCTGGGCGGCGGCCATCGCTCCAGGGCGCCTTCCTGTCGCCAGGAAAACGGGAAGGAAAAGCAGGAGCGAGAAGCCGCCCGCCCGCCCGCGCCGCCTCCTCCCGGGGCCAGAGCCCAAACAACGCCCGGGACGCTGCAGCCGGCCTTCCCAAAACGCACCCGGCGCACTCCCACACCCAGCGCGAGGAGCGTACTCCACCCAACGGAAAAGCCAAAACAAAACAAAACAAAAGAGCCAGCGTGCGTCAGCGGCCGCCGCGTCCAATGACATCCGGGACGAGGACGCCGGGCGGCCGCAGCGCGCGCCAACCCGCGAGCGGGCGGGACTTTCGAAAGCTTTTCTGGCCGATCGTGCCGCGCCGCCAGGAACCAGGAAGGGGGTGGGGTGAGCGGGCTGCGCCCCTGTCCACCGGCCCATCCTGGATAAGGGCTGCCGAGGGCGCTTCTCAGCGAACCGGCAACCCCGCCAGCACCCAAGCCCCTTGGGTGCTGCGGGGATGGCCCCGTCACCCCACAGCAGCCCCGTTCCCAACGCGCACGGCCGGCCTGTCACCTCGGCACCCGCCCCGCCCCGGCCCCCAAGAGCCCTCCCCTCCGCCCGGTGCCCGCGGGCACCCCCGACAACGCGCCAGGGGCACCGCCCGCAGTGGAGTAACAGGTTGAAGGGCAGGGAGGGAGGAGGGTAGGTAAATGGGGGGAGACGTGCTCAGCTCGCTTCTGAGATCCGTGGTGGCTCTGAAAAGAGCCGTTTTGGGTTTAGAAGCGGGTGCGGACCTACTTCTTCTTGGGGGCGGCCTTCTTGGGCTTGGCGGTCTTGGCCTTGGCGGCCTTGGCCTTCACGGGCTTGGCGGGGCTCTTAGCGACCTTCTTGGGCTTGGCAGCCTTCACCTTCTTGGGGCTCTTGGCCGCCTTCTTGACTCCCGCGGCCGCCGCCGGCTTCTTGGCCTTCTTCGGGGTCTTCTTGGCGGCCTTCTTGGGGGTGGCCGCGCCCGCGGGCTTCTTGGTCTTCTTGGCCGCCCCGGCCGCTTTCTTGGCCTTGGCCGCGCCCGCCTTCTTGGCCTTGGGCTTGGCCTCGCCAGAGGCCGCCTTTTTGCTGATCTTGAAGGAGCCCGAGGCGCCGGTGCCCTTGGTCTGCAGCAGGGTGCCCTTGCTCACCAGGCTCTTGAGGCCCAGCTTGATGCGGCTGTTGTTCTTGTCCACGTCGTAGCCCGCGGCCGCCAGCGCCTTCTTGAGCGCGGCCAGCGACACGCCGCTGCGCTCCTTGGAGGCGGCCACCGCCTTGGTGATGAGCTCGGACACCGGCGGCCCGGACGCCTTGCGGCGCACCCCGGAGGGCTTCTTGGCCGCCTTCTTCTTCACGGGCGTCTTCTCCGCGGGGGGCGCGGCGGCGGGCGCGGCGGGCGCGGTCTCAGACATGGTGGCGGTGGCGACGAAGATCGAGGAAAGAGTTGGGAAAAGTGGCGAAGCGCCGGTGGCGCAGGGCGGGCCGCCGCCGAATATATAGAGCGCAGGCGCGCGCTGATTGGTGCTCCCGCCGCCCTCGGCTGGCAGGCTCCGCGCCGCCGCCGCGCGCCCGGAGTTGTGTTTGTTACACTTCACAAAAGGGGGCAAATATTGAAAACCCCCGCACCCAGCCCCCCAGGGTCGGTCGGAAAAGAATCCGAGAAGCCTCAGGCTTCGTGCTCGGTGTTTATTTTCCCCGTAACCGCAAAGGCGCCGCGTCCAGGAGCCCCCAAACCCCCCAACTCCCAGGCAAGTCCGGGACCATCGGAGACCACTTTCTGTTTTTCTTCCAAATTACCTGCTCGCTCCTTGGCCCTTGAAAGTTCTTTTTCTCAGGGGCGGTAGGGCACATGTTCACCTTCCTTTGGGGACCCACACGAAGTCGTTGTCACTCACAATTTCACGATAATTCGGTTTCTTCGCAAGGGAAGTAACACAGGTCCTGGGTGAATTCTGCGTAGGGACGCGCAGGGACTGGGGACCAGGACCGGGTTCTGGGCCAGCCCAAAGCAGCTCCGGAGGGATGCGAGGGGGGTCCCTAAGTTCCCCAGGGGCCCTGGGTGGTGGCGGGTTAGAGACTTACATCTTTGGTTTGAAGACTTTGGGGGGCGGGGGGAGTCTAGCAAATCCCTCTTTTCATAGATGGGGGCGGGGCACCCTTTTCACCTTCCCAAGTGGAGACATTGGGCTGTTTGTAAAAAGCTGTGAGGTTCCCCTCTGCGTGGGCCACGGCGGGGGGTCTGGCCCTCGAGAATAGGGACAATAACCAAGGAAGGAAGACCCACTGAGCCTGCCCAGCGCCCCCGCAAGACTCCGCAGTGGGAGACATTGCAAGGATCTGACCCCAAACAAGCCTTTAGTTGTGTATTTATTTATTTTGGTAATAAGCAATAAAGAGGTGAATTTCGGCCCATGCAACCTTTGGGTTTCTTCCAGGTACAATACCTCACACGTCAGGGTACACAGCACCCTCTACGTGCGAACTCACACCTGTAGGAGGAGGTATTAAGAGACCCTTTGACTGATAAGGTGAGCTATAGATTGGAAACATTAAAAAGGGGGAGGGATGGTAACATTTAAAAAAAGAAAAAGAGGAAAAGTACTGGAACATGTAAATGATGACTTTTTTTTTTTAATTTTGTGAATTCACCTCTTCCCATCCCTCCTGAAGTTGGCCTGAAGTCGTCTATTGCAAAACTTGCTTTACCGCTTTAAGTTTTGCTGCTTCCTATGGTGCCCTTGGGTTCAAAGCCGTTGCACTACAGTCGTGGAAGAAAAGCCTGGGCAGACGTTCTGCTCGTGTATTTAAGGGGAATGTGGTTTGTGTTTAGGGACACAGGAAGTGTGACAACTCCCCGGAAATTCCTATTCAAACATACGTGTACATGCCAATGTGCATTAGAGGTGCCAGCGGGGGAATGGACCACAGGGTTTTGCAGACACGAGTGCAACCTGAAGATCTTGACCAAGCTGAGCCCACCACAAAGAAGTCATGTGTAGCCAGCCAAACGCAAAGAAGAGATCAGCACGTTCTGAACCAGATGGTGCCTACAAGCCATTGGTAAACCTTCCTGCTGTGAGACAGAGCTCTGAAAAGTATTCCGATACCTCCCTTCCCTGTCACAGTCAAAAAAACTAAAAACGTTTCCTTCGGCTCAGACACGCCAAGTGGGGACCCGTTGTGTGGGGTCCCAAAGGGGCTCAGGCAGATAAACTCAGGGATGAATGAGAAACCAGGCACCTTGGTTTAGATTAAGGATAACCCCATGGTTTCACTGAATACCATCCGTTCCACCTTTCAAAACGGTGTCTCCTCCTGCTCACGTCCTCAGAATTAACAGCCTAATATGATTAGAGAGGGAGGAATTAGCAGCCGTGGAAAAGCACTTTAGACCTGCCTTCCATCCGTGTGACGTGGGGCCTCGGAACCATAACAGATTGTGGAAACTATACAAACAACTAAAGCACCTTCATCGTCTTCCTTTATTTTTGCTAAAAAGATAAAGTGAGAACATGCCACTCTGCTTGGATTCTGTGAGCACAGAACCACTTCCCGTCTGAAATCTAAGGGAGCCTAGCCATCAAGAGCAGAGCTGTGTGGCCCAGGCAGCAGGGCTCAGTGGTTGAGCATCAACCTCTGAACCAGGAGATGCCCAGTCAGGGAACCTGCTCTGGGGTTGTGGGCTTGATCCCCAGTAGGGGGTGTGCAAGAGGCAGCCAATCCATGATTCACTCTCCTCATTGACTTCTCTCTCTCCCTCTCTCTCTCTCTCTCTCTCTCTCTCTCTCTCTCTCTCTCTCTCTCTCTCTCTCTCTCTCTGTCTCTCTGTCTCTCTCTCTCTCTCCCTCCCTCCCCCTTCCTCTCTGAAACAAATAATAAGTATATATATATATTTTAAAATAAAAGAAAATCCCTGAATGGAGTCCTGATTGGCAGGTTGCTGGACTCCCTTCCCTATAAATCGGGGTCCTGGTGTAAACCAGCCTCATTGGTAAACCTTCCTGCTGTGAGACAGAGCTCTGAAAAGTATGTAAATGTGATTCCTGGGGTTCCATAAGGCCATGATTGGCAAACTCATTAGTCAAGAGTCAAATATCAACAGTACACGATTGGAATTTCTTTTTAGAGACAAATTTTTCAACCTTAAACCATATAGGTAGGTACATTGTTATTAACTTAATTAGGATACTCCTAAGCTGGCCTTTGCTAAAAATTCAAGGGGCCAAAGAGTCGCATGTGACTCTCAAGCTGCAGTTTGCCGACCACTGCCCTAGACTGAGTCACTGGATCATTTTAAGTTTTCTAGTATCCCACAGAAAAATGGTGAAAAGAAAAAACAGGTTTGCCAAAACCGGTTTGGCTCAGTGGATAGAGCATCGGCCTGTGGATAGAAGGGTTCTGGGATTGAGTCCAGACAAGGGCATGTACCTCGCTTGCAGGAGGCAACCAATCCATGTGTCTCTCTCACATCAATGTTCCTCATTCCCTCTCTCCCCCCCTTCCTTCCACTCTCCCTAAAAATCAACAGGAAAATGTCCTTAGCTGAGGATGAACAAACAAACAAATAAACACGCACACACACACAAAACCAAACCACTGGAAAAGACAAAACTATATGAGGTTGAACAAGCTACTAACCTACTCTATGCCTCAGCTTTCTCATCGATACAGGGCAAACAATAGTACCTGTATTAGAGGTGATTTTGAGAAAGAATTGGTATTTATATAGTCCTTAGAACACAACCTGGCAATATAAGTACAGATTATATATATTTTACCATACACGTGTTAAAATGGTCTTTAAACATTTTATATACATTTCATTGATGGCAGTGTGGCACAACCCGGAAACCGTTGGTGTCGGAGTGACAGAAGACTGATAAACACCGCAGTCCTCTGAGCACTTCCCGTGCCCCAGGCAGTCCATGCGCGAGTCTCTCTCCTTCCTGACCACGACCCCATAATCCCACGCCAGCCACTGCCACTCCCCAGCGAGGGCACGGAGACGGAGAGCTCGGACCTGCCCAGGACAGCCCTGGGGACCGAGGGCAACCGTGTAAGCACACACACACACACACACACACACACACACACACACATTAGAATATGAGCTAGAACCGAAGAAGAGGAGGTTTCTGTCTATTTATAAGGTGCATTAAATTTAAACACGCCCCACCTGTTAACTCCTCGCTGAGTGAGGTTTGGGTGGAAGGCGTCGTCGCCCCTGCAAATACATGCTGGGTGGGCGGGTCACTCCCAGAGAGTGGGAGCCGGTCACAGCACACCCTGCTGTTCGCCCGGCTGGACACCAGATGGCGCTCCGAACCCACCCGCGCTCTCCAGAGGCGCTGGCCCGTGCCTTCGCCTTGGTGTGAGGATTCCTTTCTAGGCAGACCCTGAACTGGTGGGTTCTTTCATCTCTTTTGCTGAACAGAAACCATTATCTCCCCCCCCCCCCCCATAGACAGACGATGATGACCCTAAAGACTACAGGAAACCCATCGGCCAGGAAGAACCTGGGAGAAGCCAATGAATGGTCCTGGGCTCCGTCGGGTAGGAAAACGGTGCAGAGAAACTCACTCACCCTACGGGGAACGGACCCTCAGTCCTCTGGTCCCTGGAATAGGAGAGTAAACGGGACGAGCTCTGCCCTATGGCGGGGTGCGGAGGGTCGGGACCCAGAAAAAGGCAACAGTGTCTGTGACAAAGGTCACAACGGACACGAACAGGGGGGGGGGTCAGTTAGACACGGGGTCTAGACATAGGTGTCCTTTTACGAAAGACCATTTAAAATGTATTTCTTTATTTTTATTTTTTAAATATCTACTTTTGCTATATTTAATTATTTAATTGATGAATTAATTAATTATCCTCACCTGTGGATATTTTTCCCACAGGTTTTTAGAGAGAGTGGATGGGAGAGGGAGAGACAGAGAGAAATGCCGATGTGAGAGAGACACGTTGATTGGTTGCCTCCCCCCTATCCCCCCCTCCCTGACCAGGGCAGGGAGCCTGCAACCCAGGTAAGCGCCCTTGACTGGGTAGAACTCGGGACCCGTCACTCTGCAGACTTTCGCTCTATCCACTAAGTCAAACCGGCTAGGGCTTAAAATTTATTTTTAACTATATTTTTATTGATTTCTGAGAGGAAGGAAAGGCAGGGAGGCATAGAAACATCCTGCACCCCCCACATGGGGGATCGAGCCCACAACCCAGGCATGTGCCCCACTCGGGGAACAGTGACTTCCTGGCTCATAGGTCGATGCTCCACCACTGAACTAAACTGGCTGGGCCAAAATCACTTTTAAAATACTACATGACTTCCCTTCTTTTTAAAAGTAAAATGACCGCAGTGGGAAGGAGGCTGACACAGGGAAAAAAGTATTTGTGCAAAGATAGTAACACACTGGAACTGGCGCTTGCTTAACAGGGAACAAAAGCAAGAGATCCCTGGAAAGGTATGTCAGTGTGACAACAAAGGGGGGTTATGCTAATTGGCCATCACTCCATCACAAAGATGGGTGCACCCACAGCTGAGGCCAAGTTCCATAAGGAGCCTTAACAAGCAATCAGCGGGGACCTGAGGCTAGCCCTCCCCCACCCCCATGGGCTTGACAGGGGACTTCAGGCCACACTCCCCACCCCAGCACCAGGCTGGGGGACCTCAGGCCTCACCCCCCACTGCAGCACTGGGCCAGGGGACCTCAGGTTGGGCTCCCCACCAAACGGTGCTTGACGGGGGACCTCAAAGTGCACCCTGGGTGCTGGGTGGGGGGAACTCAGGCCGTGCCCCCTGCCCAGCTGGGCTTGATGGGGGTCCTGAGGCTATGCCCCCTGCCCGGTGGGGCTTGACAAGGGTGGGACTGGCCAGGTCTGGATCTAGCCCAATGGGGAAAGCAGCCGTGTCTGGGTCTCATGCGATTTTGAGGCTCATGTGGGTGGGCGGGGACTTGACTCTGGGTCCCCCTTTTAATGTGCACAAATTCCGTGCATGAAGCCACTAGTGATAGTAATAATAAACCTATTCTATTCAGGTATGCTCTAATAAGGGTAAAAGGACTTAAAGGGATTGTTACATCGCCATGGGACTGAGATCAGCCTGGCACCCTGTTTGTAACATCCCCCCCCCACCCACACACACACGCAGCCCCCAAAGGTGCTTGCACTAAAGTGTAAGGCCGCAGGACAGTCCCGCAGAGCAGACCCCTACCCTGGCTCTCCTGAATGCAAAGCCTAAATCGTTTAACTAATTGCATTAAAGCCGCCCAGTTGCTGATCAGTCACTGCAAAGAGTTTTAAGTAAGAATTAGTGGTTTTTTTTTTCAGAACTGAATTCTAACGGTTAGAGCTCCGAATCTGCTTGAACTGCTGGAAGGTATCGTAGTTTCACATGTTCGCTTTGGCCTCGCTCACCCTAGCCTAGGGGAAGGCCTTCACAGAGGAGGATGCTATTTGCTCCTGTGGCCACCAGGTGGCGCTCAGATTCAAGCAGCCGTTGGCACAGCTGGGGTGCAGGGTGCCTGGCTAGGCCCTCAATCATTAACTTTGGGTTGACATCGTATGACGCAGGAGTTTTTTTTTGTTTTGTTTTGTTTTTTGTTTTTACATCTAAACTAAAAGAATAAGGATTTCTATTAAGCATTGTAAGTTGCATTCAGTAGCCTTCAATACACAACCCACCTACCATCAGTCAAACCCAAAAGCAGTTCACTCTTGGGCATGCCAGGAGTGAGGGCAAAACCCCTTCCGCTCCCAGCGAGAGCCTACTCAGGCCCCGCGGGCAGGGGTCGGGAGTTGCATCTCGTTTCTCATCAGTGATGTGTGGTGAGGAGCAGCAGGAGGAGGATGTGACCGGGAAAGGAGCGATTCTAGTGCTTAGAAACCAACAAAAACATCCAAATGATATCAGAATACTTGTTCCTGCCCGATTCTTGATGGGAAAATTCTCAAATATAAGCCGTTTGTTTCCCTGCTACAGAAGGTGGGGGGGTTATTAAAAAAAATTTTACAGAATTTCATATTTTGCTAATATGAAGGCATAAAGCAGCAACAAAGAAAAGGAATGCATCAAGAGTGAATACACCAGGGTACTGTGCAAGACACTATATCATTTTTGGGTGTTTTAGAATAAATGTGACAGAGGTCAATAATCACCAAGTTTGAAAGTTAGAGCAAGATCAGTCGATGACTAACCAGAGTTAGCATCTTTCATGGAAAGATTACTGACCATCAGCATTTTTGTTTTGCAAATGGGCGCATTTTAAAGCTCATTTCCTCTTGGCGGAAAAAAAATGGTTGTGACTCACAGTTGAGGAAGCTGTGATGCTGGAGTCCGTGCTTAGAGCAGTCAGGCCGAAGCTGGCTTGAAGGACCTTTAGGGGGAAAATATAAAGAATAATACATGTGGGCTGGTTCATGGACTCCCCAAACCAGTGAGTGACCAGGAGACACACTGGCCAGGGCTGTATGTATAATTTTTAATATATGTCCCCTTTTTCCCCCTGGAGCCCTTCCAGCCCAGCCCACCCCCCACCCCAGGCCTTCTCCACCTTATTGTCAGGGTCCATATATGCACAGAAGGTCATTGATTGATCACCTCCCACCTGCTCACCCTCCCCTGCTTTCCCTTAAGACCATGCTCTGTTCCATGCGTCCACAGGAGGCAGAAGTTTCTGATCACCTGAGGATGCTTTATAGGAACGACCTTTTACAGAAAACTGTTAACCGATGCTTTGGCTAGGACTCAACCCCCACCACCACCACACCCCCACATCCCCAGTAAGCCAGATGCTTGCATGGTGGTGTGTCCCCTGACCCAAGGGCACTCTATCTGACCCAAAATGCATTGCTGCAGACAGTTTACTCCTAATCCACCAGTCTGCGACCATTCCCTCCCAGTGTCTGATCACGATCCCATAATCCCACGCCAACCACTGCTACTCACCAGCGAGGGCACGGAGACGGAGAGCTTGGATCTGCCCAGGACAGCCCTGGGGACCGAGGGCAACTTGTGCAAACACACACACACACACACACACACACATTAGAATGTGAGCTACAGTCGAAGAGATTACTGTCTATTTATGAAGTGCATTAAATTAAAATACAACCCACCTGTTAAGTCCTTGCTAATGCGCTTAATGAGTTTTAGGTTAAAAAAATATTTAAAAATTTTAAAAAGAAACAGAGACGGAAGTGGGGCCAGGGTGCAGGGACGGGTCACTCGGGAGCAAACAGGCCTTTGGACTCGGCGGACATTTGCCCGGAGAAGCGGACTTGTCAGTGGGACCGTGGAGCTGTGACTTTTGACCCCCTGCCTGCTGCTCCTGTGGGTTTTGGCTGCAACAGGACGTCTCTGGGGTCCACAGTCCCAGGGGCTCCGGTAATACCGGAGCCAGGAGGGCCTCAGGGGGGTGGGGGTAGCAATTGGCTTCACTGTCTAATCTTATTCTTTTATTTTATTTATTTTTTCTAATCTTATTTTGTTTCAAAGAGCAAGGAAGAGGGAGAGAGAGAAACATCAGTGAGGAGAGAGAATCACGGATTGGCCGCCTCCTGCACGCCCCACACTGGGGGTCCAGCCGGCAACCTGGGCCTGTGCCCTGGCCAGGAATCAAACCGTGACCGCCTGGTTCGCAGGATGACACTCAACCCCTGAGCCACGTGTGCTGGGCTTCACATTCTCACCTTGATCACGCATCCACTCGCTCGCTCATTGCTGAATTCACTCCGCACCTGAGTATTGGGAACGTACTAAAACCAGACAGTCATCCATTCTCATCCAAACTGGAGCGCTGTCGGTGAAAAACACCCAGTGGGAGAGGCACTGCTACGCCCTTAGCGTTTTATGTCTGAGAAGGCTGTAGCTGGTTTTTATTTTCCCCATGTTGCTTATGTGCTTTCAATTTTTCTCCATAAACCGTAAGTCCAGCGAGTCTGAATGTCAGTTGCTATGACGAGCTGCTCGCACGCGGGCCGTTGGCAAAGGGAAACGTGATGGAGCCTCTAAGGCGGGGGGAGCTGAGCTGAGACGGGGGCTGAGCTGAGCTGCAGAGCCAAGACCCCCGGCGGCGCGGACATGACGCTGGTGGACACGGGGGGGGGGGGGGGCAGGTGGGAGCTGTGTGGTCGCTCCGCCCAGCCCCTGCCCCGGGGCAGGCAAGAGCCCTTCGCCAGTTGACTGCAAATCAGAGTGGGGTGTGTGTGTGTTTTGGGGGGGGAGGTGGTGCTTAAAACAGACCAACAGGCCCTAGCTGGTTTGGCTCAGTGGATATAACGTTGGCCTGCGGACTGAAGGGTCCCAGGTTCCATTCCGGTCCCAAGGGCATGTACCTTGGTTGTGGGCACATCCCCAGTAGGGGCTGTGCAGGAGGCAGCTGATCGATGTTTCTCTCTCATCGATCTTTCTAACTTTCTATCTCTCTCCTTTCCATTCCTCTTGTAAAAAAATTCAATAAAATATATTAAAAACAAAAACAAAACAAAACAAAACAAAAAAAACAGACGACCAGGCCCCACGCCTGCCTTTGGGTTCGGTGATTTGGGACCTGTCCCGGAATTGGCCATGGGCAGGTTCCCAGTGAGGATGATGCTCCGGTGCAGGAACCGCAGAAGAGAATTCCGGCTTTTAAAAGGCTCAACTCCCGCACGGCCTGTGTAGCTCAGTGAGGAGGGTGTTTGCCTGCGGACTGAAGGGTCCAAGGTATGAGTCCGTCAAGGGCACAAGCCTCAGTTGCAGGCTCCTCCGGTGAAATTATTATTATTATTTTTAAAGTTTGAACTCCCAGCATTCCTTTTGTTTCCCTGGCTCCCCAGGTGGGGGAGCCCCGGTTGCCAGGCGCCCAGCACAGGCACCTGCCTGAGATAAGGCCATGGCCATGGGGGTAAAGCCAGCCCAGACCTGCAGCTGCGCCGCGCTCCCACCGAGCTTTCCTGGAAAAACGTCCCTGTGCATCCAGATGACCCGCCCCTGACCCGCTTCCTCCGGGGTCCCCAATGGAGCCAGGCCGTTCTGGGGGCCCAGCCTGGACCCCAGCCCGCTGCGGGCACCCCCTTAGGCCGCGCTCTCCAGGTCGCTGTCCTTTGTCCCCCTGCAAGGTGTCCTCGCTCCCTCTTAAAACACATAATAAATAAGTAAAGAAAATTCGCCCAGCAGGTGTGGCTCAGCAGTTGAGCATCCGCTCCGTCCCCCGTGGGGGGCGTGCAGGAGGCAGCTGATCCATGACTCCCTCTCATCACTGATGCTTCCATCTCTCCCCCTTCCTCTCTGACCTCGATCTTAAAAAGATAAGGAAGGAAGGTGGTTAATCGCCTTTTCCAGGGTCAGCAACCTGGGGCTTGGGGTCTGGGCCGCAGCGGGATCCGTCCCAGGGCGGATCCCCCGCGGGGCTCGGGGCAGGAAGACCGGGCCGAGGGCGCAGACGCACCCGCGGCCGGAAAGGGCCTGCGCGGGCCGGGAGCTGGGCGGCGGCGATGGCCGCGGAGTGACCGCTCGAGGCACCGAGTCCCCGCCCGCCGCCGCGATGGGCCCGCCGGCCGGGCGCGCGCTGCTCCTGCTGCTCCCGCTGCTCGGGGCGCCGGGGGCGCTGGGGGCGCTTGGGGCCCGGGCCGGGGCCCCTCAGGCCGGAGCGCGTGAGTGCCGCGGGGCCGCGGGGGCAGGGGCCGCCGAGTTTGCGGGGAGCCGGGGGCCCCGCGCAGCCCCTCCCCACCTTCCCCGGGATCCCGGGAGGGAGGACCGGCCGTGGGCGCCCAGCCTGGTCCCCACCCGCGGCCCCCGCTCTGCGGACCGGATCGCGAGCCGAGCTCGGCTGCAGGTCCCGGGACTTGAGTCTCGGGTGTCGCGTCTCTCCTGCCGGCTGCTTCCTGCTGCCCTGTCGCCGCCCGGGACTGACCTTTGCGCCCCTGACCCTGTGCTTGCGGGCGCGTCCCCGGCGGGGTTGTGCGGGGGATGCGGAGGGGTCCCCCTGCGGCGGGGGGCGGGCGGGGAGGGGTCCCCCTGCGGCGGGGGGGGAGGGGGTTCGGCGCGGAGGGGTCCCCTACGGCGGGGGGGCGGGCGCGGAGGGGTCCCCTGCGGCGCGGGACGGGCGGGCGGGTGCGGGGGGCGTGTTTGCGGTGAGGACTGGGGTCTGAGCTCCGCGCCTGGGCCGGGCGCCCCCAGCCCCGTTAGGAATCTGTGCGGGTTTCCTGATTCCTGGGACTGTCACTGCCCGGAAACGCAGCGGCCTCTGTGGGGCCCGGGGGTTAGGCTGTGGGTTCGGGGGGAGGGTGAGGGAGGTTCAGGTGCTGCCCCGCGGGGCCTGCGGCCAAGGCTCCCATCGGCGGGGCCGCCGGGGCCGGGCGCTCAGGGGAGGCCTCTCCGGGTCCGAGTCTAGGAACAGGCTCCTGGCGCCCAGGGGGGACACGGGTTTCCCCCGGGCCCGGTGCGCCCCTGCGCCCCTTTTCCAGGCACGGGGTCCTCCCTGGCCTTCCTCCCAATGGGCCCCCCTCTGTGCGAGGTCAGAGGTCAGCCCGGCCCTGGTCGCGGGGCCCAGAGGGCGGTGGACGCGGTTGGAGGCTGTTGATCTGCCTCTGGCGGCGCGAACGCCGGGAGCACCGGCTCCCCCTCCGCGCTCCGCGCTCCGAGCTCCGAGCCCGTCCCGCCCGGGGCCAGCCCCTGGGGGAGGCCCGGCTCTGCGCGGGCAGAGCCGGGACCGGGGTGGGAGCGGAGCCCGGCTCGGGTGGGAGCGGATCCGGGACCGGGTGGGAGCGGATCCGGGACCCGGGTGGGAGCGGAGCCCGGACCGGGGTGGGACCCGGGACCGGGTGGGAGGGACCCGCAGCCCGGCCTCGGCCCCCACCCCCGCCCGCGCCTCTGCTCCCAGGGCCGCACGCGCTGCGCTTCAGGCTGATGGGCGCCACGGAGCCGGAGCTGGGGCTGCCGCTGCTCCGGGCCGCGGGCTTCGTGGACGAGCAGCTGTTCGTGTCCTACGACCACGAGCGGCGCCGCGCCGAGCCCCGCGCCCCGTGGCTCAGGGCGGCCGGGCCGCTGTGGCTGCAGCTGAGCCAGAGCCTCAAGGGCTGGGACCACATGTTCACGCTGGATTTCTGGACCATCATGGACAACCGCAACCACAGCGCCGGTGCGGGCGGGGCTGGCCGGGGTCCTGGGCAGGAAGGAGGTTTGGGGTGCTTGGGGGGAGGAAGAAGGTTTGGGGGGCAGGAAGGTTTGGGGTGCTGGGGGGGGAGGAAGGAGGTTTGGGGTGCGGGGGGGCAGGAAGATTTGGGGTGCTGGGCGCAGGAAGAAGGTTTGGGGTGCTGGGGGGCAGGAAGGAGATTTGGGGTGCTGGGGACAGGAAGGAGGTTTGCGGTCCCTGGAGGCATGGAGGCGGGAAGGTGTTTGCTTCCTGAGGCCCCTAGGTCCCGGGATGGAGGAGAGAGCCGCCCGCTCGTTTGGTTTCAGAACGAATCTGGGGGTGTCTCCAGGGGCCCACACCCTGCAGGTGGCCCTGGGCTGCGAGGTGGGCGCGGACAACAGCACCAGGGGCTTCTGGGCCTACGGCTACGACGGCGAGGACCACCTGGAGTTCCGCCCCGAGACGCTGAGCTGGCGGGCGGCGCCCGGGGCCTGGGCCACCAAGATGGAGTGGGAAGGGAGCCCCGTGCGGGCCCGGCAGAACCGGGCCTACCTGGAGCGGCTGTGCCCCGAGCAGCTGGGGCGGCTGCTGGAGCTGGGCGCCGGGGCCCTGGACCGGCGAGGTAGGCGGGGCGCCCTGCAGGGGGCGTGCCATGCCGGGGACCGGCCTGTGGGATGGTAGGGGGGTGCCATGCCCAGGACCGTCCTGCAGGGGGTGCCATGCCGGGGACCGGCCTGTGGGATGGTAGGGGGGTGCCATGCCCAGGACCGTCCTGCAGGGGGTGGGGGGGGGGTGCTATGCCCGGGACCTTGTGGCTGAGCTGAGGTTCCCCTCCAAGGTCGCCTCCTTTTGTTTGTTTGTTCATCCTCACCGGAGGATGTTTCCCTTGCTTTTTTAGAGAAAGCGGGAGGGGGAGAGAGAGAGAGGCTGGTTGCCTTCAGCACGCACTCCCACTGGGGCTGGGATCAAGCCTGTAGCCCAGGGACTTGCCCTCGCCTGGAAATCCACCCGCAGCCTGCAGCGGAAGCTCTAACCACGGGCCCTCACCGGCCAGGGCGGGCCTCCCCGTTCCCGGGACAAGCCACGAGTCCTGGCTTTCATTTCTGGTTCCCCTTCCGTGGAGCCGACAGCGCAGCTGGTCTCGATTTCACCGCGAACCCTGGGCCTGCGAGCCTGTGTGCCTTTTAGGACCAGAAACGTCAAATATCCCAGGGAAACAAGCGCACAAGGAATTACAGGGGCGGCGGGGAGAGGGGGAATAGTCAGACAATAGTCAGTGTCCGCAGCCTCGGGGCCACGGGAAGGTCCTCACAGAGCGTGGCCCCGGCCCTGCCGGCCACTGTCTTACAGGAGTACCTCTGGCCCTTCCTCTCCCTTCTTCGCGCCCTTTAAAAATCAATAAAAACACATAAAATAATTACATATATTGAAAGCAAAGAATCCGTGCTGGGTTGAACCAGGTGAGATTGCCGACATCCAATCATTCTCATGCACCTGAAGGCGGTTTTACCGGATTCAACCCAATAGGGCCTATTAAATAGGCTAACACAGCAGGAGACAGGGCCCACGGGAGGTGGGGGGCTGACGGGAGGGACAGGACCCCAGGCTGAGGGGCTGTGACTCCTCTCCCCATGACACACCTCAGAGGGAGAGCCTCTTGGAACATTTTTAAAAAAAATCCTCACCCAAGGACATTTTTCCATTGGTTTGTAGTGAGAGTGGAAGAGGGAGGGAGAAACAGAAACATCCATGTGAGAGAGACATATCCATGGGTTGCCTCCTATACCCGCCCCAACCAGAGCCAGGGCCAGGGCCACTGTGGTACATACCTTCGACCGGAATTGAACCCGAGACCCTTCGGTCTGCAGGCCAACGCTCTACCCACTGAGCCACACCGGCCAGGGTTCTGTGGGACACGTGTGTAGCTCGGCCTGCACATGTGTCCTTCCTCCCACCCGGAGCAGACGGGAAGTGAAGGTCGGGGTGCTCCTGGGGAGGATGGCGGGGTCCCCTCCCCACACGCTCCTCCTCCCCCAGTGCCCCCCTCGGTGCGGGTGACGCGCCGTGTGGCCTCGGCAGCGACCACTCTGCGGTGTCAGGCTCTGAGCTTCTACCCGCCCAGCATCACCCTGCGGTGGCTGAGGGACCGGCGGCCGCTGGACGCGGAGCCCGCGGAGCTGCTGCCCAACGGGGACGGGACCTACCAGGCCTGGGCCGCCCTGGCCGTGCCCCCCGGCCAGGAGCAGGGATATGCCTGCCAGGTGCAGCACCCCGGCCTGGAGCAGCCCCTCGCTGCCACCTGGGGTACGGACCAGCCCGGCGAGGACACCCGTCCAGGATGGGACAGGGGGGTCCACGTGGCGGGAGGGGTGCCCTCGGCGGGAGGGGTGACCTGGGAGGGAGGGGTGTCCTGGGAGGGAGCGGTGCCCTGGGAGGGAGGGTGCCCTGGGCAGGAGGGGTGCCCTGGGAGGGAGGGTGACCTGGGAGGGAGGGGTGCCCTGGGCTGGAAGGGTGCCCTGGGCGGGAGGGGTGCCCTGGGCGGGAGGGGTGACCTGGGAGGGAGGGTGCCCTGGGCGGGAGGGGTGCCCTGGGCGGGAGGGTGACCTGGGCGGGAGGGGTGACCCGGGCGGAAGGGGTGCCCTGGGAGGGAGGGGGTGCCCTGGGCTGGAAGGGTGCCCTGGGCGGGAGGGGTGCCCTGGGCGGGAGGGGTGACCTGGGAGGGAGGGTGCCCTGGGCGGGAGGGGTGCCCTGGGCGGGAGGGTGACCTGGGCGGGAGGGGTGACCCGGGCGGAAGGGGTGCCCTGGGAGGGAGGGGGTGTTCTGCGAGGGAGGGGTGACCTGAGAGGGAGGGGTCCCCTAAACAGAAGAGGGTGCCCTGGGTGAGGGTGGGAGGGTGCCCACTGGCTGCTGCCGTTTCAGAGCCCTCCGTGTCGGGCGCCCTGGTCTTTGGCATCGTCAGCGGGACCCTCACGGGTGTCGTCCTCATCTTCGTCGCTGGGGTTTTGTTCAGATTCCTACGGAGGAGGCGGGCGTCCCGTGAGTAGGAAGACGGAGGAAGTCTGCCCAGGGCCTGCAGGCTTCTGCAGGGTGTGGGCGGGGCGGGGGCAGGGAGGGCCCAGGGCACCGGAGAAGGGCCTCTGCTGGCTCTCCCTGCGGCACTGGCTTCCCCAGGGGAACAGGAATGGCAGGGCTTCCACAGAGGAAAGCTGGATCCCTAGGAGGGAGCCAATCCATGATCCTCTCTCATCATTGATGTTTCTCTCACTCTCCCCTCCTCTCTGAAATCAATAAAAACTTACAGAGACGAGAGGCCCACGAAATTCGTGCAGTCGGGGTAGAGGTCAGGGGTCCCTCAGAGGGGTGGTCGCCCCTCAGCCAGGCCTGTGCCCTCGCGGGGACGTCTGGCTGACGGCTTGGGCGGGGGGGAGAGGTTGGACATCCTTAGTGCTGCGGAGGGAGCGGCTCCAGCCACCACACTGCACTCGCCAGCAGTGAGCCCGGCTTCTGGCTGAGCCGCACTCCTCCTGTGAGCACTGACCACCGGGGCAGCTCCTGCATTGAGCCTCTGCCCCCTGGTGGTCAGTGTGAGTCATAGCGACGGTTCTGCCTTTGGTCAATTTGCATATTCGCTTTTTATTATATTTTAAAATTTTATTCCTTGGGGAGGGAGAGGTTGAGGTGAGTGGGTGAGGGAGGTGAGGGAGAGGGAAGGTGATGCCCAGATCCTTGTCTCTGCAGGAGGCACCCTGGGGAGCTATGTCCTCGCCGACCTTGAATGAGGTGCAGCTGCCGACCCCGCCGGAAGGAGACGGTCGGAGACCCAGAGCAGGCGCCGGGTGACTTTGGTGCTGGAGAACAGAGCTGCACCCCGCAGATGGGAGCTGGCCCAGAAACCCCTGCTCTCTGCCGCCCCTCATTTAGATTTTAGGTTCCTACCTGCCAACAGTCCCCCCTACCTCCCCCCCTCCCCCCCAGCGACCGCTCTGAGGATTCCAGGCTGGAGGAAGAGCCTGTCTCAGTTTCCCGCCCCTGTGACCCCGCGCGCTGGCGCCATCTCAGCTCCTCCCTCCGCAGCCAGGCTGCTGGAGTTTGCGGGCTTGGGATTCTCCAGAAGCTGCGGCCCTTCGGTGCAAGAGCTGACACTGTAACCACTGGGCCACTCCGGCCAGGGCCAGCTGGTGCTTTCTCGCTGCAGCTGCCGCATATATTTGGTTGCAAAGCTGTGGCGCGAGGCCTTCTGTCTCGCAGGGCAGGTGGCTCAAGAGACCAAAGATACATGTAATACGTGCTCACTGTAAAAACATTGAAGAGGAGTAAACCTGAAGCTATCATTTTAGCCAACGATAAACGCTATCAATGTCGTGTGTTCCTCTGTCTTAGTGCGGTATGAAAGTGTAAAAAGCATCCAATGCACATGCTTTAATAAAGGCATGAGGAGTTGTGTTGAGCACTGCATGGTTTTCCTGCTGTATTTGTCCGCCATACATACATGCTCACTAGAGGCCCGGTGCATGGAAACTCATGCACTCGGCGGGGGCAGTCCCTCAGCCCAGCCTGCGCCCTCTCCCCTCACACCACCCACCTGCTCGCTGCCCCTTAGCGCTGCCTGGGAGGTGGGAGAAGCTCAGGCCACCGCAGCTGCCCTGCTTCTGGCTGAGCGGACCTCCCCCTGTGGGAACGCACTGACCTGCATTGAGCGTCTGCCCCCTGGTGGTCAGTGCATATCATAGCATCTGGTCATTCCGAGGTTCAGCCCATTTGCATATTACCCTTCTATTACACAGGATTATGTTATTTGGGAGAGTTTTGTACTGCTTCTAAGTTTCTTACAATTTGTTTCATGAACTATTTTCATTCCACTGTAATGGATGACGTCACTGTTCTATGCTCTAGAAACATTACCATCTGCATTGTAACATCTTGCTTATTTTGTTAACTCCCACACGGGTCTCAGGTCGGGCAGTTCTTGCTAAATGTTAAAACACCCAACAGTGTCTTTGCAGACACAGCTCTAACCAGATGAGCTTGACCTGACTCCAACCAGTTAGGTTCAGCCAATTGCAGAGCTGGAAATGAGCATGTAAGTGACCAGATCGTGTGCCTAAGCCTTGGCTCGGCCTCGCTTCTGTGAGACTCACCTTGGGTGTGGGTCCCTGCCGCCTCCACTTACTGCAAGGAACGGAAGCTACCGAAGGGCAGCGTCTCCCTCCGGAGCAGTCACCTCAGGCGGGGAACGCATGGAGTTCAGTGACGATTTCCCCTCCAATCCGCGCTTTCGCTGTACACATATATATGTCACCCTGTCCTCAAAGCATCAGCCAAGGAGCATCCTCCTGCTCCGTAAGGAAATGTTACAGTTAACTAGGCAACAGCTTGTTTTCTGTTGTTTTATTTCACAGGCTGCGATTTCTAGAAACTCCCTCCCTAGTCTCTACAGTAACACCACTGTGAACCATTGGCAACTGGGACCTACCTGTTCATGTTCCTTGTTTACAGCTGGCGTTATAAATCTCTGTTGTCGCCAAAACCAGTTTGGCTCAGTGGATAGAGTGTTGGCCTGCAGACTGAAAGGTCCCGGGTTCGATTCCGGTCAAGGGCATGTACCTTGGTTGCGGGCGCGTCCCCAGTGGGAGGTGTGCAAGAGGCAGCTGATCGATGATTCTCTCTCCTCTTTGTAAAAAATCAATAAAATATATTTATTTTTTTAAAATCTCCGTTGTCCTTCTGTCTTTCTTAGCTCAATTTTCCTGGCCTCGTTCATCAGTTCTTCGGGTCAAATGCATTTGAAAATCAAAACTTTACATTTTAAAATCTTTTTTTTCCCCCAGAGAGGAAGGGAGAGGGAGTTAGAAACACCCATGATGAGAATCATTGATCAGCTTCCTCCTGCACGCCTCCCAGTATGGATCCAGCCCGCAACCCAGACCTGTACGGTGACCATGACCTCCTGGTTCACAGGTCAAAGCTCACCCACTGGGCCAGGCCTGCCAGGCTGAATGCTGTTATTTCGCTTTTGGCAAAACTTCCTAAGCCTGATGTTGTGGAGATGGGCGCCCCCTGGTGGCCACAGCCAAACACCGCAGCGGCCCTGAGACTCCTGAGCGGGGGCTGGGCCCAGGGACACCCCCGGGGAAGAAAAGCGCCTGGAAATGGGAGGAAATGCGGAGAAACGTCACCAGCTCTGCCAGTCACTGAACCCACAAACGGAAGGCAAACAGGACCCGTCACTTTGCGCAGTTGGTGAAGGGCTGCTGGGAGGTATAAGCAAAATTTATTATATAATAACAGCTTGTATTGGAGGCATTCTTCTCACACACATACACACACTACACACATACACACAACACACACACACACACGCACAGGCTTAAAAACCAGACCCGGCCCGGACCGTGTGGCTCAGCGTTGACCTATAAACCGGAGGTCGAGGGTCGATTTCCCATCGCACGCAGCTCAGGCCTGGCTTGCAGGCCCCCATCCATGGTTCCCTCATCACTGACTTTTCTCTCTCCCTCTCCCTTCCTTCCTGAAATCAATATATGTGTATACACACACACACACACACGTAGAGATAAAAATGGCAACGTCTTTATATTAAAGGAGAAAACCATTTTTACAAAGCCCAAATTCTTCCAGATAGTTGTCTGTTTTGGAATGGGGGGTGGGGGGTGGTCAGAACGGCAGGGTGGGCGGAGGGAAGGTTTGTGGGTCTGGAGCCTCCAGCCTCGGAGGCCCGGGCTGCCTGGGCCTCAGCTCGGCCTGTGTGTTTGGTTGTTCGGGTTCGGGGGGACCAGGGTGCGGGCCTGGCGGGCAGGTTTCAGCGGGAGGACCCGGAACCTGCTGTTTACGGTCAGAGCCCGGACAGTGGGCCTGGCTTCCGAAGGCCCCGGGTGTGAGCCCCGGCGTGAGCCCCGGGTTTGAGCCCCGGGTGTGAGCCACGGTGTGAGCCACGGGTTTAGCTCCGGGTGTGAGCCCCGGCGTGAGCCCCGGGTGTGAGCCCCGGTGTGAGCCCCGGGTTTGAGCCCCAGGTGTGAGCCCCGGGTGTGAGCCCCGGCGTGAGCCCCGGGTGTGAGCCACGGTGTGAGCCCCGGCGTGAGCCCCGGGTTTGAACCCCGGTGTGAGCCCCGGGTTTGAGCCCCGGGTGTGAGCCCCGGTGTGAGCCCCGGGTGTGAGCCACGGTGTGAGCCCCGCGGAGCCCGGTTGAGCCCCGGTGTGAGCCCCGGGTTTGAGCCCCGGTGTGAGCCCCGGGTGTGAGCCCCGGGTGTGAGCCCCGGCGTGAGCCCCGGGTGTGAGCCCCGGCGTGAGCCCCGGGTGTGAGCCCCGGTGTGAGCCCCGGGTGTGAACCCCGGTGTGAGCCAAAGGTGTGAGCCCCGGGTGTGAGCCCCGGTGTGAGCCCAGCACATCCGGAGCCGCGGGCTCCGTGCGGCTGCGGGCGGGACTCTCCCCTCTGCGCATGCGCGGCCGCGGGCCGGCGGTTCGGGTCTGAAACCCCCGCAGGGCGGCGCCCGGAGCTGCTGGGCGGTCACCGTGCGTGTTTGCGGCGGGAGGGAGGGGAGTTCGGACCCGACAACGCTCTGCTGGGGCAGAAGGTCACCATTGGGCAGCTCCAAACCTACAAAACCACGTCCCATGCCGGGCTGTCCCTCCCTCCCCCTTTCCCGGTTATCCTGTCCCCCCTCCCCCGGGGCCCCTCTCTCCTGACCCGCGTCTGGTGATTGCGGTCCTTCTCTGGCCGGTCTGGACGAGACCCACATGTGACCGGACTCAGGGAAGGCCTGCAGTCACCCTAAGGACGGTCTGAAATTAAAATTTTTCAATTTTTTTTGAGTCCGAGGCCAGTATCCTCCCCCTCAAAGATCATCTTCTGTGTGGACTGCTCCGGTGGTCTTTTTGCCTCTAAGATAAGGCACCTGTGAAAAGTCGGGGTAACTGGTAGCTTCCCCATTTCTGGGCCCTCGGGGGATAAATAGCATAGGACTGGAACCACAAATCCCCGCATTGTTATTGTTATTGAGCTGATTGTTCACTGTTAACCACCCTGCACCCGCCTGTGTAGAGGAAGCCCGCGTCTGTCCTCTCCCTTTTCATCCAGTCCCTCCCTCAACCGTCACCCAAGGTTTCTGTAACCCCCTGACCTCTCCGTTGATTGTAACGGATAAAACCGGGTGCAAAACGGCCCTTCTCCAGATTTCTCTCCCAGGCCGTGGAGAGCCTGCTTCGGGCCTTTGTCAACAGTTTGGCTCAAACTCACAAAAATTATTCACAGGTTTGCATGATGTTTGTTTTTACAGTAACAGTTTCATTGTAAGTTTACAAAATAGGCATTTATTTATTAACCAGGATGGGGAGAGATGTGTTTTTTTCTTCTTCTTTCAACCAGAGTGACTCAGTGGAAAATTTCAAAGATTGCCATGCCTTGTTTACAATACCAATAACCTCATCAGAGGCCTTTCCCGGGAAGGTCCCGAGGGCTCTTTGATGACCTTAATCACAGATCAGCCCTCCCCAGCACTTAATCCCTAATTCTAGGAAACACCGGTTCTTGTCTCTAAAGAGGAGCAGAGGGAGCTGGTGAGGAATTGCAGGCAAACCTGTGCGGGCCAGAATGAGGGTCCCGGCAGCTGCTTGTGGGAGTTTAGCCTTAAGCTCCCCGACTCCGGCTTTACATACAAACGCTGGAGAAAAGGAAGAGGTTTTAATTTTTATTCCTTGTCAGCCTTTCCATTTTTCCAAACACTACTAGACCCTTAGGGCCAGAGGTCCTTCATGGCCAGGCATACACTTTCTCCAAAACAGAAAGGACCGTCAAAACACGTGTTTTAAAACGGGAATATTAAAAGATTGAAAGGAAAACTCCCTCCACCGACAAGCCCACCATCCTTACTGTGTCCACATTCCCGCAGGAGCTACTACATAATATACTCGTTTCTCAGTGGAAATAAAAAGAAAGATTGAGCAAACTTCTTTTTCAGCGTCCTACAACAGGAAAATGCACCCAATTTACCAACTAGCACGAAAAGAAGAAAAAAATCAGAAAAGAAAGGAAAGCTTTTCAAGGAAATGAAATTTGCCCCGAGGCTGAATAACCCCAGCTTCACCAGCCAATCACAGCGTTGAGATGGTCAGCTCTCCCCGCCCCCCCCGCGCCCCGCCCCCGTGGTGACCTAACTTTAAAAAAAAAAACCCGCAGCGTGTGTCTGAGGTTCTCAATCAGGTCCGCAGACATTCTATTTAAAGGGCTGGGCGACGCCTGGAGCTTCACTGCGTCTGCAGCCATGTCTGGTCGTGGCAAAGGCGGGAAGGGCCTGGGCAAGGGCGGCGCCAAGCGCCACCGCAAGGTGCTGCGCGACAACATCCAGGGCATCACCAAGCCCGCCATCCGCCGCCTGGCGCGGCGCGGCGGCGTCAAGCGCATCTCCGGGCTCATCTACGAGGAGACGCGCGGGGTGCTCAAGGTGTTCCTGGAGAACGTGATCCGCGACGCCGTCACCTACACGGAGCACGCCAAGCGCAAGACGGTCACGGCCATGGACGTGGTGTACGCGCTCAAGCGCCAGGGCCGCACCCTCTACGGCTTCGGCGGCTGAGCCTCCTGCCCGCCGGCTCCTGCGCAAAACCAAAGGCCCTTTTCAGGGCCGCCCACGCCCTCTCGGAGGAGCTGAGCGCTTTCTGATGCCGGTGTTACTGTGATCACTTGTGTTTGGTGCCGGAGGGGCTTTAACCTTTATTTCGCAGCGGCGTTGAGTCCGCTGGGCTTCTGGGGTGACCCCGCAGGAGCAGACGGGAAAAGTCCCTGTTTCTCCCAATGGAGGACATGAGTTCCTGGAGGTCACATTCCTCCTCCCCCTCCCCTGCCTTCCCCAGTGAAAGGCTCAAAGTACAAGCCAAGGTTGGTGGGACGTTCCCTGTGGCGCGGAGCCCTGGGAGGGGAGGAAAGGGGAGAGGTGCGGGGAGCTGCACATTACAGATCCAGTGTGTGCGGTGCAGATCCGACCTGGGCAGAAAGGCCGGGTGTTCTGCCTAACCTTGCCCCAGCGACGTCGGGAAGGGGAAGCCTCTTCGCACTCTGGAAGCCCCATTTTTCCGGGATTGGGGTGCAAATGTAACCACCTTCCTGGTCAGGCTGGGCCCCGCCCTAAACCCGAGGCCCAGCTGTTTGCAAATTTTCCTTTGACTCGGGGTCGGGGCTGGAACTCCGTCTCTAACTCCCTCCGCCCGTAGGCCCGCCCTTCCTGTGGCAACAGCTCTGGGGCGCCTCCCCCACCCCGCCCCCAGGACTCCCAGCTGCTTTCCCTTTTTTCATTTTCCATTTTATCATTTATTTTTACTTTTATTTTTTCATTTTCCATTTTAAATGTGCCAGCTATAAACGGTGGAAGTTTTTTGTTGTTGTTAGGGATCAACTATTAACAATATGGTTATAAAAAGTTTTATGTCTGTCCTCGGGTTGAACCCACAGACTTGCTTTCTGTTACAAAAGCAAAGGCCTTTTGAAGATTTCCAGGAACATCTCACGATGGGCTGCTGGTCGTTCAGAAACGCTCACTCCTCTGGCCTGATCCACACGGTTGTCAATGATCCTCTTGGGACAAGCTCCCAGGTTAAATTTCGGGTCTGGGATGACAGCCATTTTCCTGTGGCTAAAGGAAGGGGTTCATGGCTGTTCCCAGAACGGGAGGGTAAACCTTGGTGGATTTTCTGATGTTTTATTGTTTTCAGAGAAGGGAGAGAGAGAAACATCAATGGTGAGAATCATGGATGGGCTGCCTCCTGCACGCCCCCTGCTGGGGATGGAGCCTGCAACCCAGGCATGTGCCCTGACCTGGAATTGAAATATGACTACCTGGTTCACAGGTTGACGCTCAACCACTGAGCCACACGCTCGGGCTGTTTCTAACTCGCTGTGAGCCAGGCGCTAACGGGCCGGAGGAGCACAGGTGCGCACCGAGTATGGAACGGGGTATGGACGACGTGATCCGAGTGATGCTCAGGGACCGGTGGCTGCGGGGCGGGAGGCCAGTTGTTGGTCCTTTTCCCTCGGCGATGTGAGGTCTGCGGGTCCGAGGTCAGTCCACCGCTTGTCAGGTAACCGCCCATTTCCAGCGCAGAACATGGCCAGCCTCCAAGGAAACGGGGCATCGTATGCAAGCGAGGCCTGGACTCGGGGCTGATTCTGCACAGACTGAAGCCATGGTGTCACGTTTTCTGGAAGATTTAAACTCTTTCCTCGGAGCCCCCCGTCATACAAATGAGTTCTGAAAGGCGAGTTGTTAGTGAGCCACCTTGAGAAGATGCTCGAATTGGAAGGATGCAGTACATCCTTTTGCACTAAAATACCAAGGCCCCAAATAGGGTTAACAGTAGGAACTTCATATTTAGATTATTTTCAATAAGAATGCCAAATCACAAATGAAGTGAAAACAGGCTAATTTTAAAAGGAGAAACATGCATTGAGTTGGAGCGTTTTCCAATACAAGCAGTTTTTGTTTACAAACGTTTGGTTCAGACCCTAACAACTGGGCAGCCTCCAACATTTCCCTAAGACTAGTGTCAGCATTTTTCTGCCTGTGGGGCACCACGTAAACACTCTTCTTACATAAAACACATGGAATCACACTGGTATTAAACAGAACAACCAGAGTATCAAGCCAACTATTAAAAAATGTGACGACATAGTAACTATATACTATGGAAATAAGGATCTATAGCATTCCAATGTTCTTGTGACAACTGTAAATATTTGTGACTTTTACTGGCTAACCACTCATACAACCAGTTTAACACTAAAAATATAAAATATATACGTATAATCCAAATTCATACACAGGGGTGGGTGTATGCCCCCTACAATGCCCGTGGACACCAGACTTAACCTTTTTGCCCAGCTGGTGTGGCTCAGTGGTTGAACATCAACCTATGAACGAGGTGGTCAGGGCACATACCTGGGGTCGTGGGTTTGATTCCCCGAGTGGGGTGAGCAGGAGGCAGATTATCCTCCTTGATGCTTCTTTCCCTCCCAGCAATCAAAAACTCATTAGGATGACACCACATAAAGGTGTAAAATGCCATGTGCACTTGTTAAAAGATAAATTAAGGTGTGCTAGGACTGTGAGCGGCTCTCCGCTCCTCTCTACAGGACACCGGCATTTCCGGTGAAGTATAAGCTTACAGAAGGTGTAGGAGGTATTGTAGCCGAGTCCAACCTGGCATCATGGGACCGGGCAACAGGTAGACCTGCGCACATGCGGATCCTGGTCAGCCCGACCACGTCTAACCAAACAACAAGTTTGCAAAGAGGTTGGCCTGGACGCCCCGAGCTCCCAGCAGCCCCCAGTGCTACGCCATTTTCCTACGACTTGGGTGGCTCTTAAAAGAGCCTTTGGGTTTCCTTTGTGCCTTCACTGCTTTTTGAAGACCGGCCTTTTACTTCTTAGAGGCTGCCTTCCTGGGCTTGGCCTTCTGCTGGGAGCCCTTGGGCCTCCCGGCCGTGGGCCTATCGGCCTTGGCCGGGCTCTTGCGCGGGGGCCTGCCTTTGGGCCCGGCCGCCTTCCTGACGCCTCGGGCGGCCTTCGGAGACGCCGACGCCCTCGGCTTCGGAGCTCGCTTGTTGGCGCTGGAGCCCTTGGGGGACTTGGACTCCCTGGACAAGACCAGCTTCTTGCTCTTGGCGGAGGCGGCCTTCTTGACCTTGACCAGCTCCGGCGCCTTCTTGCTGAGCCGGAAGGAGCCCGAGGCGCCGGTGCCCTTGGTCTGCACCAGGGTGCCCTTGCTCACCAGGCTCTTGAGCACCAGCTTGATGCGGCTGTTGTTCTTGTCCACGTCGTAGCCCGCGGCCGCCAGCACCTTCTTGAGCGCGGCCAGCGACATGCCCGCCCGCTCCTGGGACAGCGACAGGGCCTCCGTGATCACCTTGGACACCGACGGGCTCGGAGTCTTGCGGTTCACGCCCGCCAGGCCCACCACCTGCTTCCTCCCGCGCTTCTTGATGTTCGGCTTCGCCATGAAAGCTGGGCAGGGCTCAGCCGGGTCCACAGGGGCCGTCTCGGACATCCCAGGGCAGAAGGGCCGCAGGTGAGAGCCAGGGAGGCGGGTCAAGCGCGGTGAGAGGGAAGGCCCGCCCTCACGCCTTATATAGGGCAGGGCGTGCTCTGATTGGTGCGTCGCCTCGGCCTCGCCCCGCCCGTCGCGGGGAGGAGCGTTTGTGTTTGTTTCCCCCCCAAAACTTGAAGCCCACAAAAATCGTAGGCACAGAAGGGCCCCCTTTCCCTGCGGGAGGAAGCTTGGAGATCTGGACTTCACACACCTTCCAACCTTTTCGTGAACAATGGCCCAAGATGCCCAAACGATTCCAGAAACCCCTCGACCCTCAGCAAATTCAAGGAGAAGCACCGGATTTCCTCTTTCGCTTGTAAATACAACATTGCTTTTTAGCAGGAGACTTATCCCAGCTCTTCTCAGTGACCTTCCAAACGGTTGCGTGGAGAAAAGACGTTAGTCCTGCCCCAAATTTCATGGACAACTGTGTATGTATATGAGGGAACTAACACAGATCTCCTAGAGGCCTCACTGGCTGCAGAACTGGGTGCTTCAAGAATTGTCTAAAAACTGCAGGGTCTGCCTTTGTTTGGGCAAACACAATCTGGTCAGCCATAATCTGCAAGGTGTGTAGGTTGCTTCTGACTAAAACCAGCCCTGGGTCCCCACAGCACAATCACAGAGCCTCGAGGATTGAGCAAGTAGCACTGGTCTCACACATGGTGTCTGCCTGGCCCAAACCAGGTCTCCCAGCCGGGCTGGTGGCTCAGGGATTGAGCGTCGACTTGTGAACCAGGAGGTTGTGGTTCGATTCCCCATCGGGGCACATGCCCAGGTTGTGGACTTGATCCTGGCTAGGGGGCATGCAGGAGGCAGCCGATTCATGATTCTCTCTCATCATTGATGTTTCTCTCTCTCTCTCTCTCCCTCCCTCTCTGAAATCAATAAAAACACATTAAAACTAAGTAAATCAGGTCACCTTCATGGCTGGTATCCTCAACTGAGAGTTGCTTCTGGCTTCATTCGTTCAAATCCCCACCCCACCCATCCCTCTTTATCCCCCTCCCCAACCAAATTTCTGCAATGCACATTTAATATGTTCATACTCAGAGGAAAGAAAAGGATGTTTTACCAGGTTCTTAATTACCCTTCCACAATTGTTAGAAATATGCCTTTATTTCCAGTATCTCTCATTTTCATTGGTTAGTGAGATGTCAGTGTCGAGCAGTGACCAGTGACGGGGAAAGACGTGCCTAAAGCCCGTTTGCTCCTCCTGTGAAAATGGAGAGATTGGTTAATTCGCTTCTGTATCTCATCAGATACCTGATATTGTACTGAACCTGAGAATGGCCATCGTAGTGGTGATGGGCAGCATTCATTGGGGTTTGTTCTTTGCCGGGCACTGTTCTAGGCACTTTGTCCATCTACCAGTGCATTTAATCTGCGACAACCTCCCATTATTCTCTCTGATTTGGGGGATGAGGAGAGGAGGGCTAGGAGAGGTAGCATTTCCCAGGGGACACAGCTGTTGGGAGTTAACACACAACCCCTAGCATCTGAGTCTACGTACACTATTAGAGGAAGGACGAATATGATCTAGTCCAGTGGTTGGCAAACTGCTGCTGACGAGCCACATGGGCTTCTTTGGCCCCTTGAGTGTGGCTCTTCCACAAAAATACCACAGCCTGGGTGAAGCTATTTTGAAGAAGTGGTATTAGAAGAAGTTTAAAAAATTTGGCTCTCAAAAGAAATTTTAATCATTGTACTGTTGATATTTGGCTCTACTGACTATTGAGTTTGCAGACCACTGATCTAGTTAGTACTTACATTTAAACTTTTTTTTTAACCTATTTAAAAAAAAAATTTTTTTTTTATTGATTTCAGAGAGGCAGAGAGAGGGAGATAGAAACACCAATGATAACCCTGGCCAGTTGGCTTAGTGGATAGAGCGCCGGCCTGCAGACTGGAAGGTCCCGGGTTTAATTCCGATCAAGGGCATGTACGTTGGGTGTGGGCACATCCCCAGTAGGGGGTGTGCAGGAGTCAGCTGATCAATGTTTCTCTCTCATCAATGTTTCTAATTCTATCCCTTCCCCTTCCTCTCTATAAAAAACCCATAAAATATCTTTTTTAAAGGAAACATCAATGATAAGAGAATCCTACATGCCCCCTATTGGGGATCAAGCCCACAACCTAGGAATGTGCCCTTGACTGAAACTGAACTCAGGATCGTTCAGTCCACCACCTCCTTGTTCATAGGTCAGCACCCAACCTCTGAGCCACTGCGGGTGGGGGAGCTCAGACCCTATGGAGTGACAACCAGACAATCAGGTGGGAACTGGCAGTCACCCAGAGCCACAGGAGCAGCTGGTCACAGAGCCCTCCCGGGAAGGCCCAGGCCAGGCAGATGTCTGCAGGGTGAGGAGGAGTTGTCAAGGCGGGAAGGAGGGAGAAGGGGAATCTAACGGAGTCCAGCCTACGTGGGAGACAGGAGCCTGGGAAAAGCAGGGTGTGGGCAAATCAGGCTACAGAACAGGAGAGAGGAAAAAAAAGAAAAAAGAAGCAGCAAAAATAACAAACAAAGAAAAAGACGAAGGGAGAGAGAGAGAGAGAGAGAGAGAGAGAGAGAGAGAGAGAGGAATGAGATCACGGGCAGTGCGCTGGGCAAGGCCCGGTCACCATATGGGTCAGGTATTTGGAAAATCCTAAAAGCAGGTTCTGGCCCATCCCAGAGCCTGCACTTCCTCAGGGAGGAGCAATGTTTGCAGCCACTGCTCTAGCACCATCTGTTTCCGGTCTGTGTCTCACATCTGCCATCTCGTTTCACCCTCACCCCAGCTCCTAGAGCTGGTAATGGTTACCACCCCCCAGGCTCAGAGTGCTGCGGTTGTCATAGTAACTCAGACATTTAGCTAATTGTTAAGACATCCTGTCCTGCAGACACAGTGTGAAAGCAATTAGATTGGTTTCATCCAACAACATCAAAAGGATATTTTACAGCCCCCTGCATCCGCCTGTGGACCAAAAGGGTCTGGGGTTCGATGCAGGTCACGGGCACGTACCTCAGCTGCAGGTTCCTCCCCAGCCCGGGCCCAGGTCAGGGTGTGTGCAGGGCAACCAATCAATGTGTTTCTTTCATCGATGTTTCTCTGTCTTTTCCTCTCTCTAAAAAAAAAAAAAAATCAATGGAAAAATATCCTCAGGTGAGGATTAAAAATAATAATTTTTAAAAGACAATTTATAAAATAGAAAGAGGGGAGATATTTAAAAAAAAAAAAAAAGGGGGGGGGATCTGCAGACTGTCTAGGAACAAACATTGTTTTCTGTAGAAAAGAGCTTAAGAGGAGCCATCTGTTCTTACAGGACCCAGGAAGTGCCAAAGGAAACAATTAGTGCTTTTCTAGAAACTCTCCAACTTCTGGGGAGGGTCGGGGGCAGCTGCCGGCCTCTGGGTAACCAGCCTTGGGGCTCAGCCCAGTTGTCATCAGTGTCATCAGTGTCTGGCATCAGTGTCTCAGCCCCGTCCCCCACTTGGTGTCATAAGGGGCGTGCCCATGGGGATTTCAGTCTGCGCAGTCAGCCATCTGGTAGAGTAGGAGGGCATGAAAGCTCCGAGGGCGATCACAAATAAGAAAGGTTTGAACTCCCTATTGTCTCCAAATATGTAACTGGCTTTTCTCAACGAGAAGAATCAGTTCCAGAAATTAGTTCCATTCAATTCACTTAAAGCTCGACAAGCCCTAACCGGTGTGGCTCAGTGGATAGAGCACTGGCCTGGGGACGGAAGCGTCCCAGGTTAGATTCTGGCCAAGGGCGTGTACCTTGGTTGTGGGCACATCCCCAGTAGGAGGTGTGCAGGAGGCCGCTGACCAATGTTTCTCTCTCATTGATGTTTCTGACTCTCTATTCCACTCCCTTCCTCTCTATAAAAACCAATAAAATATATTTTTTTAAAAAGCTCGACAAAGGCACAGTATGTTGAAAGTCGCCTGAGTTCGCTAGTTTCGCTCTTCCTGTTAGTGTTTTGTGTTTTTCCGTCATCCAGTTCCAGAATAAAACTTAGAATACAGCAGTGAATTCATATAGTGATGAGTTCAGTTCCAAAGTATATTTACCTTACCAGCATAAACAAGACAACACATAAGACACTGAGTTCGCTATATTAACAAATACACATTCGTACTGTGACAAAGGAAGGGCCACATGCTGACCTGCCCACCTCCGGGAAGGCCTGTGTGGGGCCTTTCTGACATTAGAAAACTTTAATTAAAAGCAGTCTAAGTGGGTAGTCACGTCCCAGGCCGGTGTCCTCCCTGAAGAAGAACAACTTCCTCTTCTACTGAGCCTGCTGTCTTTTTTTATCTAAGATAACACGCCTTAGGAAGATTCAGGGGAACTAGTAACTTCCCTTTTCCTGACCCCTCAGGGCTCAACCTGGGGCCCAGGGGGGAGACCACAGATTCCCTCATTGTCACTGTTATCACGTTAATTGCTGACTGTTAACTACCTGCACCCACCTGTGTAAATCAGCACCTGGCCATCATTTCACTTTCTATCCAATCCCAGGGGTTCCCCTGAGGGGAAATCGATCATTGTCTCACTAATGGAGAGCCCTAGACAGGAAACCAGAAGACTAGTCCACAACCTTAATTGCTCTAGTCACTCATTATTTAGTTGAAACACTGTCAGCCCAAGCAGCCTCCAACTCTGTTGTCTTATGTAAATTTCTGTCATTGGAGTTTCCTGCCCAAGGGCTATGGGTGTATCCCAGAGCCTCAATAAATAGCTAGGCCAGAGCTGGGTGTAATCCTCCCACTAGAGGTGGGCTCTCTCCTGGCCCCCAATACTCCCAAATTAATACTTTTCTAGTCTCTTTTCATTTGTGTGCGCACTTTTCCAGAACCCTGAACCACGTGGGACGTGAAAGGGGTTCTCACCCCCCCCCCTTGCTGTCTCCCGCCTCCCTAGTCATCACCAGTGGCTTTCACATGACCCACTCACGCCCCCTCCTTTGATTTAATGTACAAAACAAGGTGGAAACCCGCCACTGTCCCAATACATTGAGATCCTGCTTCCCCAGAAATTGCTGACAGTGTGGCGCAAATAAACTCACAAAAATTCTTTCCTAGTTGGGGTGATTCTGACATTAGCACAGTCATGTGAACACAGTGTGGCTGCGCCAGGAGGGAGTGGTCACAGGAACGAGGAGGCTACCCATGTGAACGTGGGGCATGGCCCCAAGTGGTCGGGACAGATCCCCTCTGCACATTGAAGTGAAAACAAGCACATCTACTTCCCATTCCCATGTGTGTGCACATGTGCTTTCACCCATTAACCTATGGTCATGGTAAACTGGCGAAAACAAGAGTCGTGCAGAAACGGTCCAGGTTTCCACAGGCTTGGCCTGCAGTTACTCAATTTAATGCTCATCTAAATTCTTCAACAGACGTATAGACTGCAAATTCGGTATTTGAGCTGACACCCTGAATCCTTATGACACATTCAATCCTTCTCTCAACTTCCTTTTTCTAAATGATATGATCTACTAAAGGTGAATTTGGTTCAATGTCTAATTTGCAATGGTAAATTTTTAAGTGAAGACATATTAACTTATCTAACCAGTAACCCATAATGGAAGAACCTTACTAAACTCAATGACTTTTTTAGAAAATAAATTCTACCTTGCATACACTAGAATAGTGTGCTAACATTTCCCATCATGGCAAAAATAGAAAAAGGCATAGAAACATTTGTTGTTGTTTTTCTTTTTATTGTTTCTTTTTTTGTTTGTTTTTTCATAGAGGCACTTTTTAAAGCAAAATTAAGCCAGGGAGATGATCCAAAGGGTTACCTCGATTAGAAATGTGACTTTCCCTCTAGAAAGCTATATACCATATATTTAAATATTTAAGTTATTACAAATAGTGGAATAGTTTGGTTTTGTTATTAACCTGTTCTTTCTTTTTTTAAAGATATATTTTATTGATTTTGTACAGAGAGGAAGGGAGAGAGATAGCAAGTTAGAAACATCAATGAGAGAGAGTCATGGATCAGCTGCCTCTTGCACATCCCCTACTGAGGATGTGCCGGCAACCAAGGTACATGCCCTTGACCGGAATCAAACGGGGACCTTTCAGTCCCCAAGCCGACGCTCTATCCATTGAGCCACACAGGTTTCGGCTAACTTGTTATTTCTTAATATCTGTAACCTGTTAAGTAAGATCACTAATCAAACTCACTGTTTAAGTAGGTTTTTTTTTTCTGTCACAACTAAAAAGTTAACACATATAAAGCATCAGAATTCTGATTTTTTAGTTTATTTTAAAATGTTTTTTAGTCTTTAGATAAGACATTTACCATTTAAATTGACATTGGAACAGATTAATTTCCTGCAGAGTTAAACAATTGGCTCAAAATTGGTTCGGACCCATAAAAACATAAAATATTCTCAATCGTGCCAGAGGAGCTAACTGTGAACTTGGGACAATTTTTAAACTTAGGTGAGAACAGAACCACAGAGTTATGCTTGTCAGGTAACGAAGCAGACATGCAGTTCAGATCAGAGACCCCTCAGGAGCGCCGCTGCTGAGAAAATGGGTCAGTTCTGATGCCCTCCTAGCTCGGTAGGAAATCCTGGTTTTTAGGGCCACGGCCTTTACAATAAGTTAAGGCTCAGGAACAAGATGTGCTTTATCCCTGCATCACAAACCGTCTCTTTCCTGCCTCTTTAGTCCTGTTTACAATGACATTTTCCTTCTCCTCTAACCTGGGAGGGTCATGGACCTTGCCTTGGCCAGGGCCTTGCACATGCGCTCCCGCCCTAAGGAGGCCAGTGACGCGCTTCCCAGGCGGCGTGACCAGACAGCTGCTTCCAGACCGAGGCCCCGCCTACTGCCAAGAATTTGGGAAAAAACACGATCCTTCTAAACTACACAGCATTTTATCCCTATTTTGTAAAATCCAGTTTTGTGATCGTCAACATTTCCTGTAAACATAAGTACTTATAATGTAGTTTTCTTTTTATATTATTTCATTGACTTTTGATAGGGTGAGGAAAAGATAAAAATATCAGGGAGACACAGAGGCTGCCTCCTGCAGGTATATTGGCGCTGCAAACCAGGACCTCTTGATCCATAGAACGACGCCCTGTCCACTGAACCACCACAGCTGGACACGCTCCGTGTTTCTAACAGAAAAAAAGCACCATTTAAAACCAAGGGGCTGAGAACGCACCCTGCATTTGGGCAAAGTCTGGGCCAGGAACAGAGATCACAGGTACCTAAGAGCGGGTCCCACCTCCCAGCCCACAGCCTGACTGTGGTTAGACCTGCACGACCCGCTTTTACTAACTGGGTCAGGCAGTTTTTCAAGTTTCCGGCTACAGCGATCTTTGGAAGGCGTGGGTGGCTCTGAAAAGAGCCTTTGGGGTCGGGAGCCGGGCCGCGGCGCTCACTTGGAGCTGGTGTACTTGGTGACGGCCTTGGTGCCCTCGGACACGGCGTGCTTGGCCAGCTCGCCGGGCAGCAGCAGGCGCACGGCCGTCTGGATCTCGCGGGACGTGATGGTGGAGCGCTTGTTGTAGTGCGCCAGGCGCGACGCCTCGCCCGCGATGCGCTCGAAGATGTCGTTGACGAACGAGTTCATGATGCCCATGGCCTTGGACGAGATGCCGGTGTCGGGGTGCACCTGCTTGAGCACCTTGTACACGTACACCGAGTAGCTCTCCTTGCGGCTGCGCTTGCGCTTCTTGCCGTCCTTCTTCTGCGCCTTGGTCACCGCCTTCTTGGAGCCCTTCTTCGGGGCGGGAGCGGACTTGGCGGGCTCGGGCATTTTCAGGCTTCAGGATACTGAGAGGAAAATGCTGCTGGGGCGAAACCTCTGCTACTTATAGGGACTTTATGCTAATGAGGGATGCAGAGAACCTCTTAGTTCATTGGCCGACAAGCGCCAAGGGTGTCTTCCCAGGGCCGGCCTATGCAAATGAGGCATGGAAATTACGATATCCTATTGGTTGTGCGACTGAGCCCGTACCTAGCTAATCAGACACCCCCGTTTGCTCGCAGGACCTGCCTATAAAACCGGCCATGTTCGCCCCACTCGCAGAATTGGTCTGCTCAGGCCAGGATCTATCTTTCTTTTTGCAAAAACCTTTTTTTTCTGTCTTTCAATGTCTGGGCGTGGGAAACAGGGCGGCAAGGCGCGCGCCAAGGCCAAGTCTCGCTCCTCGCGGGCGGGCCTGCAGTTCCCCGTGGGCCGCGTGCACCGCCTGCTCCGCAAGGGCAACTACTCGGAGCGGGTCGGGGCGGGCGCGCCCGTGTACCTGGCGGCCGTGCTGGAGTACCTGACGGCCGAGATCCTGGAGCTGGCGGGCAACGCGGCCCGCGACAACAAGAAGACGCGCATCATCCCGCGCCACCTGCAGCTGGCCATCCGCAACGACGAGGAGCTCAACAAGCTGCTGGGCAAGGTGACCATCGCGCAGGGCGGCGTGCTGCCCAACATCCAGGCCGTGCTGCTGCCCAAGAAGACCGAGAGCCACCACAAGGCCAAGGGCAAGTAATCGGACGGGCCTGGCATCTTCCGGAAACGCTTTGAAACCCAAAGGCTCTTTTCAGAGCCCCCTCCCCACCTCCCGGGAAGAGCTGATGTCACTTTAGGTTAAAGAGGGGACGCACACAGGAAGGTAAGCTTTTCTCCAAACCTGTGGCGGTGCAGACATTTACTCTGGAGCTTAAGAAAAGACTCTGCAGTGTTGCTGAAGATGGAGCATCCTGCCTAGAATGCTCTCTAACCACGCGTTTCAAACAGCCGCAGGGCCCGGACCTCGTGAACTCAGCCCTGGGTTGAGGTCTCTAACCTTCAGGTCGCCTTGCAAGTTGCTGAGGCCGGGGAGGCAGGCTACCGCCGGGTGTGTAACCGCCCCGCCCTGTTCTCCCCAAGGGCGTGAGTCTGGGCTTCGTGTAAATAACAATCAGGCTCCATCTTCGAAGCTTCCGAGGGAGGCGAGGGGGCCCCTGAGGCCGGTTCCTGGGCTGAGAAGACACCCTGAACCTAGACCCGGGTCGCATCTAGGTCGAACCTAGACTGGCCGATGCATAACCCTCCGCCTCGACTCTGTCCTCTGCAAACCCGGGCTCTGGATTGTGTCTTGCGCTCGTTGGGTCAGTTAACCATTTGAAGCCCCTGACCTGTAGTTCAACTAACTATTTTAAACAACTACCGTGTCCTTGGGAGCAAGAAGCTCTAACGCCTCTGTCCCCAGCGCAGCTGGAATAGGAGTACGACAGGGCCCTTTGCTTCCCCCGTAACTGCTGCCAGAGATTCCATCATTTAGCTGCGTCAACCCCAACAAGTGCTGATCTGGACCGAGGTGGGGAAATCCTTTGGATTCCCAGGCCAGCGGGGCTCAGGGGTTGATTATCAATCTATGAGCCAGGGGATCAGGGTTCGATTCCTGGTCAGGGCACAGGCCCAGGTTGCAGGTTGCATCCCCAGTGCGGGGCGTGCAGGAGGCAGGCGATCACTGATTCTCACCACTGATGCTTCTCTCTCTCCCCTCTTTTCCTCTCTGAAATCAATGTTAAAAAACAAAACAAAAAAAAGGTTGGTTGATAGCATGATAGCATAGAGGTATAGAGGACCTGGCATGAAATTGACACTTGAGAAAGTTTGCTGGTGAGCGATAAATTCAGTGGATTCCTTAGAGCAGGCCTCTATCATGTCCTCTGGGGCCGGGGCGAGGTGAGGGGGAGGAACCATTTTAATGGATGAGAGTGAAAAACCCAGGACCTCCAATCCCTGAAGACCGCCAGGTACCTAGAACGAAGTTGATCTAAGCCAGTGGTTGGCAAACTCATGAGCAGAGCCAAATAACAGGACAACGACTGACATTTCTTTGGAGAGCCAAATTTTTTAAACGCAAACTTCTTCTACCGCCACTTCTTCAACATAGACTCGCCCACGCCGTGGTGTTTTCTGGAAGAGCCACACTCAAGGGGCCAAAGAGCCTTATGTGGCTTGGGAGAAAAAAAACAAACCAAGATTTGCCCCAAAGTGGGAGAGAGAGTGAATAGCACAGCAGAGATGCCAAGGGCCGGGAAGAAAACGTGAATATATTGTTGTTTTAGTGCTTATTTTTTTACACTTTTCTAAACAAACCTACGTTTCTATGAACATTGGAGCTCTTGTTTCTTCAAGGCCCACATACACTTAAACCTTGTTTATTTGGCCTTTGTGTTTGACACGCTTGGTCTACATAAGGGGTTTACTGAGAAGCCAGGCTGAGGCCGAATCACCAGCTGGGTATCTGGGGCGTCCCAGACACATCGCATCAGCTTGACACAGCATCACCGTGTATTACACTTCTTTTTATTTTTTTAAAAAAGTATACATTTTTGTTGATTTCAGAGGAAGGGAGAGGGAGAAAGAGAAATATCAACAATGACAGAGAATCACTGATTAGGCTGCCTCCTGCAGACCTGCCTATTGGGGATCGGGCCTGAAACCTGGGCATGGAACCCTGACCTCCTAGTTCATCGGTCGATGCTCAAGCACTGAGCTACCCCGACCGGCTAATCCTTTTTTTATATTTTCAACTAATTTGTGCAGCAATATCCTTTCCTTTATCTACCCCTCATTCCCCCCCCCTTTTTTTTTCTTTTTTTTTTTTTTTACAGAGAGGAAGGGAGAGAGATAGTTAGAAATATCTATGAGAGAAAGTCATTGATCAGCTGCCTCTTGCACTCCCCCTACTGGGGAGGTGCCCGCAACCAAGGTACATGCTCTTGACTGGAATTGAACCTGGGACCCTCCCATCTGCAGGCCGACGCTCTATCCACTGAGTCAAACTGGCTGTTTTTTTGTTTTTTTATGTATCATTTGAACTTTTTTTTTTTTTTTTTTTTTACAAGTATGGTACATTTTATTATGAGTTGTAAATAATTACATGTATTTTACGGTTAGAATTAGGTTAACATGTAAGGGTTTTTCATCTGTTGATCCCAACTTAGAATTGCAAAGAAATATTCCTGTCAAGTGTCATGTGTGAGTATTACTGGGAGATATTAGGAGTTCAGTGGAGCGTCCCCTTGTGCGTACTGACATTGACAATAAGGGGTCATATCTAGCCCAGGAATTCTTCCCTCTGTTTTATCCCAAAACCTGAATATTGTACCAGATGGGTTAGCATCACAGGAGAGCTACCAAAAGACAGCCACTGCCTGCATTGACACTAGAAACCGGCACCATTAATAAGTAGACAAACCTATGGGCGGTGGGGGTGGGGGAGAGATAGTAGGATCATTGTTACTCCAAAAGGAATTAGAACACACCATGTACACCTCCACAGGAGGTGAATCCCAGGCCGGGAATTCATGTCGCCATATTGACAACACTCCAGGACTCAGTTTGGGCAGCAGGAAAACACCCACATTTCTTGGGACTGAGGCCTGGAGCGCCTTCCTTAGGGGTGAGGCCGCTTCTGAAAAAAGTAAGTGTGCTGAGTCAGCCGCCGATCCTGTTACCTGCTTGCTGCCAGCTGGAGCTTACACCTCCCTGGGCTCTTCACTCAGGGTCACCAGGCAGCAGCAGAGGGAAAACAAACAACCAACAACCGCTAACCTGCCGAGCGGTTCAGTTATGCACAGAAGGGGCGCCATTTCTCACCCTCACACCCACGAGGACTCAGGAGCGCCGAGGAGGAGGGACAGTCACGGTCCTATGAATTTCAGAGCCACGGTCCTGGCGATGCTGATGATTACAGATTATCAGACACGTGGCCCAGCCAGCATAGCTCAGTATCTCCCTCCCTTTCTCTCTGAAATCAAGAAAAATGTGTATTTTAAAAATAGATGCTTGGCCTTTTGTCCAACAGGTAGTGTTGGGCAAACAGGTAAATGAGAAGGGTAAACAGCGGGCGCTTGGGGAGAGGGGGTGTCTACCATCTAGAAACAAAAGCCCCACTAGCAATGGGCCACACGCTGGTGGGGGTGACAAAACCAGCGCTGTGCCGCCCGAGACGCCTGTCAGCTCTTCATGTGCAGGGCGAGTTCTATCAGACTCATCTCCACGCTGGCTCTGCACGCCTGCCCTCTGGAATGGATCCTCAGCATGTGCGGGACACGTACTCAAATCGACTCTGTTGTCAACATTTATTTCTGCACAGAAATGGAATAATCACTGGGGGGGGAGTGCAGGCTGGAGAGTGCCAATGGGGGGAGGGGAAAGAAGGCATATGTAATACCTTCAACAACAAAGGGTTATTTAAAAATAAAACATAAATAAAAATAAATGGGGTAATCACTCAGTTTCGGGGATTTATGATTTTGTTCCTGGGGCTTGTACCATTCTAGTCACCACTCAATCTGAAGTCCTAGTTGCTAAATTTGGTTGTTTCTAGAGCCGTTTTGCCTTATACAGTAGGCACTACCCACCAGTGGCATTTTATTTATTTTTTAAAATATAATTTTATTGATGTCAGAGAGGAAAGGAGAGGAAGAGAGAGACAGAAACATCAATGAATAGGGAGAATCGTGGATCGGCTGCCTCCTGCACACCCCACACTGGGGATTGGGCCCACAACCTAGGCACGCGCCCTTGACCAGAATTGAACCTGAGACCCTTCAGTCCGCAGGCCGATGTTCTATCCACTGAGCCAAACCAGGCAGGGTCCCCCCGTGGCATTTAAAATCTAAATAAAGAGATTAAACGTCCGAGTCCTCAGTTGCACTAACCACGTGTCGAGTTGTCTGTGGCTTCTGTGCTGGACAACAAGGGCACAGAGCATGCCTGTCACCCCAGGAAGTCCCTCTGGGAACTCGGAACCCAGCACATCCTGTCCCCGTGGACTGACGTGTTCAAGGGCTCGTAACCAGCCTCCGCCAGGGGCACCCTAGAATACAGTTGCCAGATAAGGTACAGGATGCTTGGTTACACTTAAATGTCAGGCAGGCAATAAGTCATGGTTGTATTATAGCTGTTGCCCTGAAACATCGCATGAGACAGTCTACACTAAAAAATTGTTGCCTGCCGGCATGGCCTAGGGGGTGAGTGTTGACCTATGAACCAGGAAGTCAGGGTTCAATTCCCAGTCAGGGCACAGGCCTGGGTTGTGGTCTCCATCCCCAGTGGGGGGCGTGCAGGAGGCACCAGATCCATATTCTCTCTCATCACTGATGTTTTCACCTCTCCCTCTTCCTTCCTCTCTGAGATCAATAAAAACATGTATTTTTGAAAAACTCTTCAAAACAAAAACTGTTCTTTATTTGAAATATATCTTGTGTTTGTATTTGCCAAATCTGGCAGTCTTATCTTTTGTTGTTGTTTTTTTATTTTATTGCATTTATTCTTTTGTTTTCTTTTTCTTTTCTTGGCAAGCTTCTCTGAAGAGCAAACTCAGAGCATCTTCCCGGGAGCCCTGGCCGCTCTGCGCAGGGAGTGTTGTGTTTATGTACAGAAATGAGGCGAGAGGTGTGTGCGTGTTCTGCTCCTGTCCGGGAAGGCTGAGGGAGCCGGGCTCAAGGACGCGGACTTTGGTCTCCTTTCTCCCCTTCGGGTGCAGAGCTTCTCACGCACAGCTGCCTGCGTCCGGAGTGTCTGTCACCCGCGTCAGGTCCCGGGATCACCTGGAGGGATGGCATCACCTTCCCAACATCCCCGACTGAGGCTGCACCTGTGAGAGTTTCCTCTGCGAGAGTTTGCTCTGGGTCTGTCTCTTCGTGTGCACACATGTGCCGTGTGGATGCGGAGCGGAAGGTCGGGGAGGAACTGTTGAGGGGCATCTCTCTTTTGTGCAAAAATGTGTCTAATGTATCGAATGAGTCACACTTTCAGAGGGTGCACGCAAATCAAATAGCAAGGTAAATATGGAGAATCTAGCCCAGCCAACACGACTCAGGGGCTGAGGGTCAACCGGTTCGTATTCCCAGTCAGTTAGGGCACATGCCTTGGCTGCAGGCTCCATCCCCAGTGTGGGCATGCAGGAGGCGGCCAATCCTTGCTTCTCTCTCACATGGATGTTTCTGTCTCTCTCCCTCTCCCTTCCTCTCTGTAATCAATAAAACATATATTTAAAACCAAAGAGAGAACCTATTTCCAATGGACTATCCCACTGTTCCCCACGTCATCATTTTTCTTGCCTTCCTGCCAATTGTTCATTCATGCAGAGGTGGGTCCAGAAGGAATGGATATGTATTCCCCTCCCCACTTCATTCTTAAAAGAGAGTGGACGGAGAGAAAAACAAATTCAGAAAAGGAGAGTGGACTGTGCACCCTGCTCTGCACTGGCCCTCGTTGGTAACAGTTCATCCCAGAGACCTTTCCGGACGTGGAGTCAGGGAGCTTCCCGCACTGAACATCGCCCGCCCGGTGCTGAGCTGTGCGGGTCGGAGGTCACAGGGCCTGTTCCCCGGGGTTGACACCACAATATTAAAAGCCCATTCTGGAATGATGAGCCTGGCTTACAGGAAGTGGAACATTGTTCTCTTACTCTGCTGGGATGATGGAAAGTGAACGGAGAAGTTCAAGTCACCTTGTTGGGTTGGACTTGGTGGTTTGGCCCAGTTCACATGTGGAGTCTCTTCCTATGTGGAGTCTCCATGTGAACTGGTTTGGCCCCGTTCATATGTGGAGCCTCACAGAATGAACAAGGGTCACACTCAGGCATGGTGTGGAACTCTAAAGGGCAGCGAGAATGAAGTGGGTGACTTTCCAACAGCTGCCTGGCGTGGGCAGAGGAAGTGGTACCCGGGGGAGAGAGAACAATAGGAGGAGAAGTGAGAGGGGAAGACGGTGGGATTTTACAGATCTGCCCACCCACAGAGACGGAAGGAACCTAAACCAGAGCGAGACCTGCTTCTGGGTCAGTGACCCCCCGGGGGAGGCAGGGCCTGGAGCACGGCCTGGCAGGCAGGGGGAAAGGGCCCTGCACGCCTCCCACCAGGTGCCCAGTGCAGACGCAGCTGCCCTGTGGACTGTTTCACACTCGGCTGAGTCTCCTTCCATTCTTTCCTTTCTTTTTTTTTTAATTTTATAATGTCGTTTTGATAGCTTTTATTTATTTATTTATTTAGTATATTTTTATTGATTTTGTACAGAGAAGAAGGGAGAGAGCTAGAGAGTTAGAAACATCGATGAGAGAGAGTCATCGATCAGCCGCCTCTTGCACAACCCCTACCAGGGATATGCCCGCAACCAAGGCACATGCCCTTGACCGGAATCAAACCCGGGACCCTTCAGTCCCCAAGCCGACGCTCTATCCATTGAGCCAAACCGGTCTCGGCGATTCTTTCCTTTCTTAAACTAAGTATTTTTAATATATTTTTTATTGATTTCAGAGAGGAAGGGAGAGGAAGGGAGATGAGATGAGAAGAAGAGAGAGAGCAGAGGAGAGGAGACGAGAGGAGAGGAGAGGAGAGGAGAGGAGAGGAGTGGAGAGGAGAGGAGAGGAGAGAAGAGAGATATCAATGATGACAATCACTCATTAGCTGCCTCCTGCACCCTCCACACTGGGAATGGAACCCACTGATCGAACCCCACCTCTTGCCCCACACCCCCACCTCCAGCCCAGACCCTCACCTCCAGCCCCAGACCCTCATCTCCCCACTGTCTGTGTCCATGGGTGATGGTCTCTGCACACAGGTCTTTGGTGATCACCTCCCACCCGCCCACACTCTGTTCCCTGCTTCCTATCCCTGGATCTACCTCGTTCACCAGTTAATTAGGTTCCATACGTGAGTGGCAGCGCACAGTTTTGGTTGTTGAGTTAAATAAAAAGAATGACAGTTTTTACTTTCACAGATATCCCAGCCTTTAAAAAGAGTGTCCCAGAAAAAACCAAGATGGCGGCATAGGTAAACACCTAACTGCAGCCTCACACAACAATTTCAAAAAAATACAACTATAAAACAAAATGGACATTATCCAGAACTACAGGAAAGTTGACTGACTGGAAAATCTACAACTAGAAGGAAAGAGAAAACCAGAAGGAAAATCAGAGGATCTGTAAAAGCCTAAGGTACGGAGACACGGTGTGCGAGTGGGGAGAGGACGGAGCCAGAGAGGAGGGGGTGGCTGAGTGACTGGCTGGCGTTACCTAGCGGAAAGGAGATAAAAGCTCTGGACTGTGCTGAACCCCAGTTCCGACAGCACGGAACCCCAGTTCTGGCCAGACCCTGGGGACCCAGACACATATGAAGGGAGTCTGGGCTGTAAGGCGGAGCGGCGAAAAGCAGTTCCAGAGTGTTCGCACATTATGCGCAGTAGACAGACTGTTGACTGCTGCTAGGTTGCCCTAGCCGGAAGGAGACAAAAGCTCTAGGCTGTGCTGAGCCCCAGTTCTGACTGCACTGAACCTCAGTTCTAGGCCAGACCCTGGGGACCCAGGCTCATAAGGAGGGAGTCTGGGTTGTGAGGCTGAAACTCAGGGGAGCGACGAAAGGAAGTTCTGGAGGCGCGCACATTGTGCACAGAGAACGCACAGTTGGCTTTGCCGCTGGATTGACCTAGCAGGAAGGAAACAAAAGCTCCAGACTGCTCTGAACCCCACTTCCAACCCCACTTCCAACTGAACTGAACTCTAGTTCTGGGCTCATTGTGGGAGAGCCTTTACTGTTTGGTAGCAGGCGAAACTCAAGGGCACCTTTCAGAGGTGCGTGCTGCGAGTATTGAAGGACCCTGAGACTCAGGAATCTCATACAGCGGGGCTGACGGAAGCCAAGGCTGTAGGCTCCACCCTGAAACTCTGCCCCATCCAAGCTGAGCTCAGAGACTTTTACAATTTTCCAAGTCTAGTCGAATAAAGCTGTCTCCTGGCATAGACACAGCTGATCCTCACAGCCAATTGGCCTGGAGGTCAGTTCCTCCCAGTGATACCAACAACAAGCAAGATTTAACTACAAAAGACTGTACACACACAGTCCACAAAGGGGTGCACCAAGAGTGTCCACCTCAGATAACTGAGAGGCTGACCCACTGAATCACATAGGACACCTTAGCACACAAAGCCACCCTACCAACTCAGGGAAGCAGTGAAAATGCCGAGCCAAGAAACAGATCACAAACAAAAGAAATGGAGGACAAAAAGTGACTAGATTTAGAGTTCAAAACAACGCTTATAAGGTTTTTTAAAGCATTTAAAAGAAAAGGCCAATAAAATAAATGAGACCTATGAGGAAATGAAAAGGGATCAACTAGAAATAAAGAATACATTGTCTGAAATTAAAAATATTATACAGAGTCCTAAAAACAGAATGGAAGATCGCAAGAATCAAGTCAAAGATTTGGAACATAAAGAGACAGAGGACACACCTTCACAGAAGCAAGAAGATAAGAGAATACAGAAAGTTGAAGATAGTGTAAGAAACCTCTGGGACAACTTCAAACGAACCAACATCAGAATTATGGGGGTCCCAGAAGAAGAAAGAACAAGATCCTGAAAACATACTGGAAGAAATAGTGACAGAAAACTTCCCCCACCTGGTGAAAGAATTAGATTTACAAGTCCAAGAAGCGCACAGAACTCCAAACAAAAGGAATCCAAGGAGGACCACACCAAGACACATCATAATTAAAATCACAAAAGCAAAAAGACAAGGAGAGAATATTAAAAGCAGCAAGAGAAAAGCAGGTAGTTACCTATAAAGGAGCACTCATACAATTGTCAGCTGATTTCTCTACAGAAACCATTCAGGCCAGACAGGAATGGCAAGAAATATTCAAGGTGATGAATAGCAATAACCTACAGCCAAAGATAATCTACCCAGCAAAACTATTACTCAGAATCGAAGGCCAGATAAAGAGCTTCACTAATAAAAAAAAAGCTAAAGGAGTTCATCACCACCAAACCAGAATTATATGAATTGCTGAAGGGGGTTCTTTCAGAAGAGAAAAAAAATAAAGATAAAAATTATGAACAACAAATACGTAACTATCAACAACTGAATCTAAAAACCAAGGGAATTAAAAAAAAAATCTGATGAACAATATTAACTGGTGAATTTAGTAGAATCAGAGGTATGAAAGGGGAGTAAACTGACAATTCTTGGGGAAAAGGGGAGTGGGGGGTGTGGGAAGAGACTGAACATAAACTGTGCACCTATGGATGAGGAAAATGGGGGGTGGGGAAAGGGCAGAGGGTGGGGTGGGAACCTGGTGGAGGGGAGCAATGGAGGGGGGAAAAATGAGGAACATTTGTAATAATATGAACAATAAAGATTTATTTTAAAAATATATATATAATCTTTTTTTTAAAAAATGGAAAAATATCCATTTTTTTAAATCCATTTTGGATTTTTTTTTCTTCAAAAAACAGACTATGGGGGAGGGAATGGGAGGAAAAAAAATAAAATAAAAATAAAATAAAAAGTTTTGAGAGTCATCAGTAAATAAAAGTATTTAAAGGAAATAAGAGCCTACAGACTTTTCCCTGCATTGTAACCACACCGGCTCAGCGGGAAAGGGTGGTTTTTATTAAGAGTGACCACCTGGGACCAGAAGTGGAGACGCTGGGCTAGGGGTTCCTGTTGTCCATGGGCAGCCGGGGCCCAGTCCTCAGCCTGTAGCTGCTCTGGTCCTTACTCCTCCGTAGGTCATACCCGGTGCCCAGTCAGTCGCCACCGCCAGTGAGCATGGCAGTCACTCCCCGAGCTGGGCGGGCCCCTGAGGAACTTGATAAATATTGAGATTCTGAGA